CACAAAATTAAATAGGGTATTAGAATAATATGTAATTTTATCTAGCGTTTGACAACACAACATAAATGTTAAACAGTAGTTATTTAATTTAATCGGTTATTTGGTTAGAAAATTATTTCATCGTATTAATGTTGAATTAACAAAAATACCCTTTATAAGTATTTGTTACATTGATGATAACTTAATTTTATCAGTTGAGAGGTTATAATAGTAAATGTATAAAATAATACGTTTGAGTTGAATTATAATACCACATCTTTTGGTGGTATTAAAATTCCTCCATAATAGAGGTCTATTGTATAATTAATATACGTTTTTGAAATNAATCAAACCCAACTCTGGTGGTGACCTTAACCCCAAATCTCTCGTCTCAACTCAGTCGATGCTTGATTTGTTATCGAAAATTGAAAGCTTGTGAATTTGTTGCCGGGATGATGGAGAAGTTGGTGACCCCACCGGTGGGTTCAACATATGGAAATTTTGGTGAAAAAGAAGAAAATACAAGATGAAAAGAAGAAAGATAAAAGGTGAAAACTGAAGAAGATCACCTGGAACTTTTGGCATAGGCGTTTCTTTCTCTCTTTTTTATTTTTGGGTTAATTGTATTAGAGATTTTTAAAGTATATGAGTTTGTCCCATTTTGGTTTTTAATACTTCAATTACATCATTTTTGCTTATGAATTATTGAATATGTTTTTATATGATCTTTCAAGTAAACAATGTACAGATTACTAACGATTTTTAATAATAAACTTGTTACGTAATATCTAAATATGGACAAAAAATAATATTAATAACTCTTAAATAAAATTAGGGTAATTTTTGACAAAAAAATGTGTAATATGAGTAATTTTTGACCAAAATTGGGATAACTCATGACCAAAAATGTGTAATTTGGGTAGCTATTTAATTAAAATTTGAGTAAAAGTTTGGTCAAGAGTTATTTAAATTATTTTTTCTCCATATTTAAGTATTACGGGACAAGTTTATAATAAAAGAATTATTAGTAATTTAAACGTTATTCAATACTTCAGAGGACAAAAATGATGTAATTGAAATATTAGAGATCAAAATGAGATAAATTCTATACTTTGGTGACCTCCCATACAATTAACCCTTCTTTTTTTTTGAACAATAAATAGAGGTGTAAAAGGGGCACAAAAAAAGAAGCGTCTTAGGCTTGTGTGAAAGGGAAAAGTTATCGTTGACATTTTAATATAGAGTTTGAATCTCTTTTAATTTGGGTCCAAATTTTATTTTTTTATTGATTTGATATAAATTTCAGTTAAAGATTGGAATAAAATTTTTAAATTTTTTATTTAAATTTAAATTTGAATATAAATTTAATTTAAGGTTAAAGATGCCATTAGCATGAATTGAAAAATGAAATAAAATATTACCATGAATAGTAAACATGAAACACAATCCCAAAAAGTCACATGTTGCAAGCGCGATGTGTTTTGGTGTTGACATTTAAAGTAACGATTGACCTAATTTTGTTGAGTAAATTACGAATATTTATAACTATCTGTTTAAAGTATAAGTATCAATTAAACTAGGAGAAAACACACAATTATTTAGTGAGTACAAGTGTCAATTAAACTAAGACAAAATATATAAGGTTCCTTTGGTTGTCATATTAGAAATTGATGGATTAAATAAAATAATTCAGTCTAATACAATGCAGATGGACAAAACACAAAATTAAATAGGGTATTAGAATAATATGTAATTTTATCTAGCGTTTGACAACACAACATAAATGTTAAACAGTAGTTATTTAATTTAATCGGTTATTTGGTTAGAAAATTATTTCATCGTATTAATGTTGAATTAACAAAAATACCCTTTATAAGTATTTGTTACATTGATGATAACTTAATTTTATCAGTTGAGAGGTTATAATAGTAAATGTATAAAATAATACGTTTGAGTTGAATTATAATACCACATCTTTTGGTGGTATTAAAATTCCTCCATAATAGAGGTCTATTGTATAATTAATATACGTTTTTGAAATTAATACAGTATCAAATTTACTGATCAAATAAAGTATTAAACCCGATTAAAAAATTTTAATTTGTTTTGACTCCTTATTACACTCTTTAATACTGCAACCAAACGACTCTATAGTTGTTTGCCTAATTACAAATATCGGTAAAACCATTTATAAAACAAAAATAGATCAAATCTTTCCGCATTGTGAATAAATATTTAATATAAACATTGACAACATTACATCACCGTCATGTGTTATTTACCGTAAGAAAAAATTAAATGAACAAATGGACAAAGTGTGTCCTATTTCTATACTTGGATAGTTATTAAATTAAATGAATAAATAACTGTTTAATTGTCTAAGATTTACTTATTACATTATTATTAGATGATTACATTATATTGAAATGGTGTAGCCGTGACTTTCACTATTTTCTTGGGAACTCTAAAGAAGCAAAAGTTTCTAATTAACACCAAGGGNTAAAATTTGAGTAAAAGTTTGGTCAAGAGTTATTTAAATTATTTTTTCTCCATATTTAAGTATTACGGGACAAGTTTATAATAAAAGAATTATTAGTAATTTAAACGTTATTCAATACTTCAGAGGACAAAAATGATGTAATTGAAATATTAGAGATCAAAATGAGATAAATTCTATACTTTGGTGACCTCCCATACAATTAACCCTTCTTTTTTTTTGAACAATAAATAGAGGTGTAAAAGGGGCACAAAAAAAGAAGCGTCTTAGGCTTGTGTGAAAGGGAAAAGTTATCGTTGACATTTTAATATAGAGTTTGAATCTCTTTTAATTTGGGTCCAAATTTTATTTTTTTATTGATTTGATATAAATTTCAGTTAAAGATTGGAATAAAATTTTTAAATTTTTTATTTAAATTTAAATTTGAATATAAATTTAATTTAAGGTTAAAGATGCCATTAGCATGAATTGAAAAATGAAATAAAATATTACCATGAATAGTAAACATGAAACACAATCCCAAAAAGTCACATGTTGCAAGCGCGATGTGTTTTGGTGTTGACATTTAAAGTAACGATTGACCTAATTTTGTTGAGTAAATTACGAATATTTATAACTATCTGTTTAAAGTATAAGTATCAATTAAACTAGGAGAAAACACACAATTATTTAGTGAGTACAAGTGTCAATTAAACTAAGACAAAATATATAAGGTTCGTTTGGTTGTCATATTATAAATTGATGGATTAAATAAAATAATTCAGTCTAATACAATGCAGATGGACAAAACACAAAATTAAATAGGGTATTAGAATAATATGTAATTTTATCTAGCGTTTGACAACACAACATAAATGTTAAACAGTAGTTATTTAATTTAATCGGTTATTTGGTTAGAAAATTATTTCATCGTATTAATGTTGAATTAACAAAAATACCCTTTATAAGTATTTGTTACATTGATGATAACTTAATTTTATCAGTTGAGAGGTTATAATAGTAAATGTATAAAATAATACGTTTGAGTTGAATTATAATACCACATCTTTTGGTGGTATTAAAATTCCTCCATAATAGAGGTCTATTGTATAATTAATATACGTTTTTGAAATTAATACAGTATCAAATTTACTGATCAAATAAAGTATTAAACCCGATTAAAAAATTTTAATTTGTTTTGACTCCTTATTACACTCTTTAATACTGCAACCAAACGACTCTATAGTTGTTTGCCTAATTACAAATATCGGTAAAACCATTTATAAAACAAAAATAGATCAAATCTTTCCGCATTGTGAATAAATATTTAATATAAACATTGACAACATTACATCACCGTCATGTGTTATTTACCGTAAGAAAAAATTAAATGAACAAATGGACAAAGTGTGTCCTATTTCTATACTTGGATAGTTATTAAATTAAATGAATAAATAACTGTTTAATTGTCTAAGATTTACTTATTACATTATTATTAGATGATTACATTATATTGAAATGGTGTAGCCGTGACTTTCACTATTTTCTTGGGAACTCTAAAGAAGCAAAAGTTTCTAATTAACACCAAGGGATCAGGCGAGTTGTGCATTAACACCCTGTTAGGTACGATGAAAAATAGGAATAATGAAAAATAGAGGAAGAAAAACGGGAGGAAAAAAAAGAATTTCTAGTATTTGGTTTGAAAGAAAAATGGGAGGAAATAGAAAGTTGGGAGTATTTACTTTTCCTTGGGCCCACCAAAATCTTTCCCCCCACTTTTGGGCGGAAAATAAATTGAAAAAGTGGAGGGAAGATGGCATATTAATAAATTGACTATTTTACCCTTTTTTTTTTGTAGACAAAAACCCATTCACTTCCAAATTATATACTGATTACGGTTTTCTCACCAACGACTCTTGAAACTTCGAAAGGAGAAAGAGCTTCAGGAGTCAACTGAACTGCTGCAAAATTCATTTGTATTATGATCTGCTTCAACTGGACTGTTGCTTAGCTGCTGTTTTTGGTTCGGCTTTGTGAATAAATAAATTTTTTTTTTGAAAACAAAAAGAGGGATGTATGCTGGTTTATATGTTTTGCAATTCAACCCTTTTACCAAACTTTCTATGATAATTATTATAGAAAAATTCACCTCTTAGATGTGAGGGTATAATGATAAATTTGATATATGTATTTTTTATTTGAGCAATCTTATATGAATTTAAAAAATAGACTTAATCCAATACCAATTAAAAAATAGATTTAATTTTTAAGTTCATCTACCATTACTCTTTTTATTTTCATCCAATTTTTAATCCAATACCAAATAAAAAAATATATATTCCTTTAATTTTTCATCTACCGTACCAAAAATAAATAAGAGAAAATATATTTATTCTCTCTATTTTTCAATCGATTTTTCATCACCGTAAATTAGTCCTGTGGGAAAAAAAGAAGAAGCAGTTTGTCCACATCTATGCGTACCTAACCAATTTAAACAAACGAGGTGCAACAGAAAAACCGCACACCTACTCCCCGACGAAAAGCTTCATTGAGAGTGCCAAGCGGCGATGGAATCTAAACACAAGAAAGCGTCATTGCTCCACTATTATCCTCCTCGCTTCCACTCTCATTGCCGAATTCGAATCCGAATAGCCCCTCTTATTCCATTCTCTCTTCTCCTTCACTCCTGCTCTTCCATTCCTTTATAAATCTGACCCAAAAAATTTCATCTTGTTCGTATCGTTTCCTCTGTTCATATATCTGATTTCGGAATGCGAGGAGTAGAGCTGTGGCTGAAGAATTTGGTTTCATCGGAATCGCAAGAGTTTCAAATACCCAACAATGATTTTCCTTGTACTTCCATTTCTTTTGTAAATGGTGGTGGGTTGTTTCTCGAATCTTTGACTCCTTCGTCGTGGGTATCTTTTATTACTGATCAGAACACTTCGTCGCTCCGGGTTTCATGCAGCCTCCGGAGATCGATCGGGAATGAGTTTTTCCGGCGAGGTATGGGAAGGGGAAGAGGCTGTGAGGGGTTTTTGTCCGTGAGTTTGTCGATTAAGGAAAACGGTGAAGGGTTTGTGCAGGAATCGAGGGAGATTTTGGGGCAAAATGAGGGTAAAAATTCGGAGGATGAAGCGATTGCAATTGCAGAAGTAGAGAAGCATGAGAAAGTGGAGAAGGGTAGGTTACGAGGAGGTGAAGCTGCTTTGAATACTAGTAAGCATCTTTGGGCTGGAGCTCTTGCTGCTATGGTCTCAAGGTTCGTCTCTATATATTCACATGTATTCCAATATTGCCATTTTGAAGTTGGATTGGATGTTGTTAGTAGAGTATGTATGTCTGTGTCTGTGTGTGGATTTTTGTTCTGCAAACTAACTTGGAGCAGGAAACCAAAAAATTTGGATTTTGGGTTGAAAAAGGGTAGAAAATTTTGGTTGGTTTGGTGAATGGCTGGTAATTATGTTAGGGTTACTTTCTTATGAGATAGAAAGGAATAGAGGTTGATCCCATATTGCATTTTGTGTAGATTTTCTGATAGTTCTTCTTCAATGACATAGAAATTTTTCGTGTTTGTGTTGATTTTTGAAAGTTTATACTAGGGATATTGGTGGTCATGGAAAACTGTGGTTTTTTTATGTTTTTATGTATTCTGTATTTGTGATTGGTTGAAACAGATAGGTATTTTCAAGTATAATGGCATAGTCCAACTATCAATGACAAATCATGTTAACTTCCATTTGCGAGGCGGCTTTAATTTCACCAGCATATCACATGCTTCTGCTGCTTCACTCTTTTTAGTTAAGAGATTGTTCAGTGGAAATTGTGGAATAATGGTTTTAATGTGATAAGAGAAAGGAAATGGTTTGAGCTTCAAAGGCTCAAATCTCTTTTTTGCATACCTCTTTTTCATAAAGCTGGAATGCAAATTCTGGGATATTTGATGGTGTTTCTTGGGAAAGGTGCATTAGAGCTTAGCGTTGAGTTTCTGTTTTGCTATTCATGTTGTAGTTAATGGTGCATGCATGATATTTCATCACCCTGTTCATTTTGGTCTCTCTATTACAGTTCTATCAACTCATTTCTTGCCTGCATGAATGGGTGTTGTTGTATCAGAACTTTTGTTGCCCCGCTGGAGAGACTAAAGCTGGAATATATAGTTCGTGGAGAACAAAAGAAGCTTTTTGAGCTCATCAAGGCAATTGCAGTTTCGCAAGGGCTGAAAGGCTTTTGGAAAGGAAATTTTGTCAACATTCTCCGCACCGCTCCATTTAAGGCCATAAATTTCTATGCTTATGACACCTACAGGGGTCAACTGCTTAAAATATCTGGGAATGAGGAAACAACAAATTTTGAAAGGTTCCTTGCTGGTGCTGTGGCTGGAGTTACTGCAACTGTGCTCTGTATCCCGATGGACACTGTATGTGGGAATTTAGGATTTTGTTTCTTTGGTGATTTGATCTCTTGTTGCAGCAGTCTTATTTTTTCCTGGTCAAGCATCTTTAAATATCAATTTGTTTTCCAATTCCTCTAGTGCTCTTAAAGAGAAGTATGCAGGTCTGGATTGCACTAAATTATCATACTTCTCTATGCTTGTCCTAGCAGGTGGTGTGTCCAGAATGGGCTGATCCGCCATTAGATCAGTCAGAACTTGCAGCATCTTCATAGTGGAACACTTCTTCTGGTGTGATTTTAGAATTAGTTTGTGGAAGCCAGTTGTCTTTTCCGTACTGCTTAGGAAACCTAAGCATCAAAAGGGATCTTCTGCTTAGGTTTTCTAACTGTCAATATGAAAAGTCTGTTTTTCCAGAGATTTTGCCTAGCCTGGCAATTCAATAAAGTTTCTTCTAGAAATCTGGAATATTGCTTTTGTGAATGTTAGAATATATGGAGTCTGCCACATTTATCTGGGGCCATGGATGTGAAACTCCATATTTCAACTTCATTTTTGGCAGCCTCTTCCTGAATTGAAATTTGCACCTGATTTAGGCTTCAACCTATTGTCATCCATGCTTGACTAAGATTAGTTGAGTTGTACTTCTTGTGATTAGTTGTAATTTTGGGGGCATAACATTCCTATGGAAGTGAAATCTTTCTATTTTCCACGCCTTATGGAATGAGCCTTCTGTCAATTTCAGCATTGAGGGTTCATCTCTCCTGTACTCAAATGAATTCTAGAGTATTTAAATTATAATGAATTGTCTTATTTTGGTGATGCGGTCATGTTAATTTGAGATCTTCTAGTGACCATAGGCCTGGTTGATGTTGAGATTTCTTTTGAAATTCTAATCAAGCCTAGCCTAATGCCTGATCAATCTTCTATTTAAATCAGACTCGTCACTAACATTTTTTTCCTTCTGGACTAAGGGACTTGAGAATGGAAAAAACAACAGTGATACCTACATGAAGGACAAATTAATGATTTTTCTTGGTGAAACATCTGAAAGGATTTTTAAGAATATTATTGATTGAATCATCTTAACCTTTTCTCACTTTGTAGAGTGATAATGCACATGTTAGTTGTCCTTTTTTTGGATTCAACATAAGTCACAAAGTGGAAAAATTGCTGTGAAATTTGTAGTTTCCAAATGAATCATGGTATTCCTAGATTACGTTATTCCTAACTAATGTATTCGAGTGGATTTTCAAATAACTTATGTTAAATGTTTCAGATCAGGACCGTTATGGTAGCCCCTGGTGGAGAAGCCTTGGGTGGCTTAATTGGTGCTTTCCGCCACATGATCCAAACTGAAGGATTCTTTTCTCTTTACAAGGGCCTAGTACCCTCTATTATAAGTATGGCGCCTTCAGGTGCAGTGTTCTATGGAGTTTATGATATCTTAAAATCAGCTTACCTGCATTCACCAGAAGGGAGGAAAAGAATAAAATATATGAAACAACAAGGTCAGCAACTGAATGCTTTGGAACAACTGGAGTTGGGTCCCTTTAGAACATTAATATATGGGGCGATTGCTGGTGCTTGTGCTGAAGCTGCAACGTACCCATTTGAAGTTGTAAGAAGGCAACTTCAAATGCAGGTCCGGGCAAGAAAAATGAGCGCATTGAGAACTTGTATGAAGATAATTGAGCAAGGCGGTGTTCCTGCTCTCTATGCAGGATTGACTCCCAGCTTATTACAGGTATGATGTGGACCTTTGTATTAACTACTCCATAATTTCATAAACGATTTTAGGTTTACTTTCAAGTTTGAAGTGAGCAAGTCTTGTATGGATGATATTGTATATGGACACTATTCTAGAAGATGTCCAATGATAAAAAGTTCTGTTTGTCCTTTTTCGGATAAGGAATCGGTAAACATACATAATTTTTTGGCTTAAAATTTTTGGATCATAATTTCTCTCTAATTAGAGATGTTGAGTTCCTCAGTTTAATTAACTCCACGATACAGTTTTATATGGAACTTCAAAGACGTCTAAGCTCCTATAAACAACTGGCCTAATATAATTTCTGGTGACGGTTAGGTACCTGAAACAGGAAGACAAGTGAACAAACTGGACTCTTGTGGTTTAAGCTACAATTGTTATTCTTAGATTCGTACTAGAAGTTCCATTAATATGCATAGATAAATTATTTTCCCAGGTAGTCCTTAACAAATGAGGATGAAGACACCATTAGAAGTACAGCAGATGGTTCTTATTACGTGAAAAACAAACACTACATTTACGGCTGTATTTGTTTAAATATTTCTTTTAACTTCTGCTGCCCTTTGATTGGGAAGTCTTATTTTTACCCAACATATATCCCCAACATATATGAAAAGAAAAACCAAGGAGACGAAAATTGGTGATTAGATTTCCTATTACATGGAGTCTGAAGTTTGCCATCAAGTGGTGACCTTGGGATGAAGACTCGATGAAGTCTTCATGAATCAAGTCCTGGACAGTAGTAGAGTCTGCATGTCTTCTATGCTTTATGAGATTGGTGAATGAAGAAATGATCTATTCTCTGCTTCATTTCTTCACATCAAATGCATCTATTGGTGAAGTACAACCCTTGATAGCTACATTGATTGATGTGTAGTTTCAGTTTAACCTGGCTGACTAAAATACGAGGTGGGGGACTAAAATTCCGATCTTCATATATTTTTTAACTCTGGGGTCGTGACTCATTTTTGTGGTGAAATCAAATGGATGTTGTCCTCAATATATAAATTTGCCGGTGCTTATATATTTTCTGGTAGGCAATAATTGCTATCTTTCTAAAACCTAGAAAATCAACTAGGTTTTCTCAAATGTAGAGTAAGGGATCAACATATCTCAAAGGAACCAAATTGAGAATATCACCACTATTTTAGCTTGCCACCATAACTCTTACTTTTCACGTGAGCATAAGGTTCTGCTAAGGCTTTCATTAACTTGTTCACCATGCCATACATGATTCTGATTTGGTTTTACCATTTGCTACTTTGTAACAATTAAAGTCTTTGAAGATTTCAGATCTTTTTGAATATGATTCAAAGATGTCACTTTTTGCTACAGTCAGCCCCGCAGTTGTCATAGACCATCCCCCAGTCATCTATCTTGTTTCGCCATGCAATATTCTTTAATACCACAATTTAAGCTATTCTATCAGACTCTTGTGAGTACCCTCTTATGAATGATATCCTGTTTGTGCGTGGTCACGCCGGCCTGAAAGATTTGTGTGAGCCAAGAATGTAGTATATTAAATCATATGCAAGCCACTATAATGGAGTAGCCATTTCATGGTTTGAGAGGACACAAACTTGATAAAAGACAGAAAATTAAGGTCAAGCACTGCACAACAATCTGGAAGCTCTTTTGGCTTAGTAGAAAACGTCAATGACAGGGATCTGTATGAACTGAAAGAAGCTGAAATTTAAGCTCTTTTAGCCTGAATTTAAAAACCCTTCATGCTGCTTTTTAATTGAATCTCTCATGGTCATGGGAGGCACACTTGCACAGAACCTCAAAAATGAAGCTCGTTTGGTTTAAAGAAGATCAAAGATACATTAACATGAAAAATAGCTTTGTTTACATCAACATGAAATTTTATTTTGCCATTGTATTATCATTTTGTGATCCATTGCATGTCATCTCTACTCTCTTACACATATGCCATATATCTTTCTTGGCCTTTGTCATTTTTCCCGCATTGAATTTCCCCATGTCCCAATTTTCTTGATATGCTGATTTACATGATCCACAATGTTTGCAAAGCACTTTAACATGATGTTCAGTCTACTGCTACATGCTCTCGATTTGTGATGGTCTTTATGTTTTGCTCCTTCAGGTTTTGCCATCGGCTGCTATTAGTTATTTTGTGTATGAGTTCATGAAGATAGTTCTCAAAGTGGAATCGGCATAAGATTGGCCTCTCAAGTACAGTGCTGAAGGGAGAGCTTGTGTAAGTTGATGCTTACAAGGGAAATTTTCTTTGGCTTCTCTTATTAGGTAGTTTGTACTGGAATATTGAATCCACATGTCTCACAGCAATAAAAGGAACATTTCCCATAATCCCTTTACTCTTTTATTGGCAATGTTCAAGGAAGTGAAGTTGCCGAGGTCAGTGGATTCGATACATTTTTGTCATTGATGTATGCTCAAGCTCGAAGCTTAGTCTAAATATACTGGCTCTCGGTCACATCTTGATGACTTTATTGTTGCAAGTATACACAGACAGTGACAGACTACAGGTCGAGCAGTCTACAGTCACCACGTGGCCTAACCTCAGCCTCTCAGACTCTTTCTTCCCGACCTATTTGACTCTATGACCCTAGTTATTTAGGTTGTATACTAAGATTGAAGAGATCGGATTCTTCCTACGAAAATGCAAATAGGGATCATGGTCAATATCCTGATGAGCCCTTCTTGGCACTATTAAGCATCAATTGCTCTAAAGTGAAGTTTAAGCCATGACCTACATTAACACAGCAATTTTACCAGATCTTAAGTGGGTGATTGATTAACAGCAGGATACTAGTTCATGCATCTTGAAGTGCGGCATCTTTACTCTCTACCAAGCAAGAATTAAAATTTCTTGTTTTCATTGAAATAACTAAAAACATTTTGGTTTTTGTGTAAACTGAAATAATCAGTGATAAAAAATCAGAATTTTTATGAATTAAAATTTTAGAAAATTTTGATCACTTAAATAAGTCAATATGTATATATATATATATATATATATATATATATATATATATATATATATATATATATATATATATATGCAACTCTAAAAAGACTCCCACACAAAATTAGTTTATCATTATCACCACCATTATCCCACCGTTACCATTGACCATCACAATCACTTACCATTGACCACCACCATCATCACTGCTGCCACCATTTGTCGTCATTACCACCCATCACTTACCGTCTCCATATGTATGTGTGCATCAGAGATTTTTAATAAATAAGATAAATAAGTATTTTTGTATCTTGGCTATCTAAACGCTATTTTCTATAAATATATTGTATTTTGAGTGTTTTTTTAACATTCAAACAATGTTTATTTTATGAGTTTTTTTCTTATAAAATAATTTTAAAAAACACTTGTTAAAAAATACTTTTTGAATTTCATTTTTGCTCCAAACTCCACGTATTTCCCTTTTTGTCCTTTTCTTTTTCATACAAGAACCGTTCTACATGTTCTCTTTGACCTTCGATTCTTCCATGGTGACTCTTCGCAATTCCGCTGCCCCTACGAGGCTGCAGTCTTTCTGAATGAAATTAATAATATGTATAAGTAAGACTATTGTGCTGACTTTAGTATCGTATTGAAACATACCATAAATTAAAAGTGAGGTTACAATTCATTATAATAAAATTACGGTTCAATTTGAATTAAATTATAATATAAAAATATTAAATTATGATTAAAATAGATGTAAGATCTATCTCAGACGATCATTTGACCTAATATACAAAAAAAAAAAAGCAATTCTTACATATTACATAAGAATTGACTCTCTAAAAATAAAATTCTAGTTTCGTATTTGTTCGTTCATGTATATGCAATATCTATATATTCATTTATATGGGATGGACTGTGACCGGTACGATTTTTTTTGGTTTTTTAGTTATTATGTTTAGGGGGTGTTTGGATCAATTTATATGTACATCGACTAATTCACACTTTAGTTTAATAAAAAACAAACCTTTCATGCAAAAACTAAATAACTCATGAAGGATAAATTTTTTATCCCTCGATTCCAAGAGAGCTACTAAATTTGAATTCAAAACGTCCTGATTGACAGTAACAAAAATCAGTATTGTATTTGACATTTCTATGATGAGTATTTATAAGTGTTAGGCGTTATCCCGTCATTAATTAAAGAGTAAATTATATTTTATCTTGTTGAACTATTACTATTATTTTATTTTATACATTCAATTATAAAATTTCTCACATTTTACCATAAAAAATTAATTTTATTTCATGTCACTCATATAGATAATGATTGTCATTTTTTTGATGGCAAATGCGCATAAGAGTGGTCTGTACTATCAATAAGCAACTGCCTATTGCACATTTACAAGTTTAAAATTAAGAAAAAATATTCATCCATAACTTTGCCTTTTTTAAACTTCAAAATTTCTTCTTCTAACCGAATATTTTTTTTTTCAATAACCGTTTGGTTGCAAAAAAAAAAATAATAAAATGGTACTAAGCATTTGGCGAAAAACTCTTCGATGTTTTCCTCCATTTTTTAATAGATTTTCAAGTTTGTCATTCTTTATTGAATTAATATGAAAATAAAATTAATATTTTAAAATATAATGTGAAAAATTTTATATTAAAGTTATTGAGTAAAATAAAGATAATAGTTGAAGAGGTAAAATAAAATTTACCCCCGATTAAGCTAGATGGACTTTAATGTCATATAGGGACACGCGCCGCAATTGGACCAGGGCTGGGCAAAATTCTTTCCATCATCATTTTCTCTATTCCGTTTCTTTTTTTTTTTATTATTTTTTTTCAAGTTAATGAGCACTAAAATTTTAAAGTCAACACTTTATTGGAACTAATATTATCAAGTTGAGAATTTTGAATGGCGACGTGTCCAAATTCGTATCGAACATTAATTATTATTATTTAATTTATGTTATTAATTATACCAAATATTATCTATAAAAATTTAAAATTATATATATTTTTTCATTGCCTCATCATCCATGTAACTGCAACATCTTCTCTGCTGTACATACGAGGTGTTGTTCCTTGTCGTTTTGTGTGCGAAAAAATGTCGTTTTGGGAACAACTTCTTTTACTATCAACTGAGGATTCGGACTCCTGTATAACAGTTAGGACTCGTTTGATAAACGTATTATATGGAGATTAAATATTAGATTATATTATTTTTTATTTAATTAGACTTAATATTTTGTATGGTAAATAAATTTGATACCGTCTTAATTTCAAAAACGTATATTAATCGTATATTTTTTACACAATAGACCTGTATTATAGTGATATTTTAATACCACTAAAAATGTGGTATTATAATCCAGTTCAAATGTATTATTTTACACATTTACTTTTATAATCCCGTAACTGATAAAATTAAATTGTCATCAATGTAACAAACACTGATTGATGATATTCAACATTAATACGATGAAATAATTTCTTAACCAAACAACGGATTAGATTAAATAATTACTATTCAATGTTTATATTGTGTATTATTAAACACTAGATAAAATTACGTATTATTATAATAATTTATTTAATCTTATTTTTTCTTCTTCTGCATTATATTAGACTGAATTACTCTATTTAATTCATTCATTTTTTATACGACAACCAAACGAGGCCTTATATTTTTGTTTATAAGTATCCATATAATATCAGATCAAAAATGATAGATTAAAAAATAGATCTATTTTTCTTATAAATAATATTAATTAAATAGGTTTGTCATGTGTAACTCGATTCACGCTTGTTTAATAATTCTATCTTTTTTTTATAAATAATGTATAGTGAAACGTGTTTATCTTGTGCAACACGATTTAAGCATGTTTGATAATAATTCAATATTTTCGATTTTTAATCTCATTCCCTTCGTTTTTCCATTTTCTTTTCCTCCAAAAAATAAAATAAAAATTATCAGATAAGTCAAAAAATACCAGAATTTGGAGTCAAATTGTTGACCGAAGTCTTCACACGAACTACAACTGTCTTTCACTAACCATTTCCGCGGCCTTCTCACTTTATAGAACCTTCCCACCACTTCCTCCTCTTCCTCCTTCTTCTTCTTCCGTAGTTTCGTACCCACACTTTTCACCATTTAATTTTGACTCTCTCTCTGTGTAAGATATTTTCCGTCTGAATTACTCTATGGTGTATAGAAGATCCTGATATAGTTGGTACTTGATCATAGAATACTTGAGTAACAGTGATTATTCAATAAATTTGAGTGAGTGGAGGCCTCCAGTTCGAATTGTATAGACAGTTGGGAGTTTTGAGATCGGAGTGAGGAGGTGACTTATAAGATTGCTGGAATCAATGGCGGAGAGCCAGAGTCGGCGGTTAAGTTTGGGTACTCAATTAGGTCAGTTCTTCAACTCTTGCTGTTATTGAAGAGTTGTCTTTTGAAAACTACTTCTTTGATTGATTATATATATATGTTTTTGAAGTTGGATTCTTATTGCTCAGCTGTTTCTTAGTTTGAATTCATTTGATAACTGCTTCTGTGATTTAGTATATAATTTTTTGAAGTTATTTCTTATTCATAGATGCTTCTCAATTTGAATTCGTTGGCTTTTTTTCATATGTTAATACAGGAGTAATCCACTGGAATAGAGTTCAGTTTCTATAACTGAAGCTTTGAATTCAGTAATATTTGTGCTAGATAATATATTTTGACTACATGCATAATTGCTTTTATATTTTTCATTTTATTTTCTAGTCATGGCTTCAAGTATAAGCACAGCCTAAGAATATGTTTTTCGAATAATTTCCTGGAAATCCAAACATCCCAAATCAGTCTAAACAATTTTTTATTATGTTTTATTGAAGTCCAATTCCAAGGCATGACAAAAGCCGTCATGCTTCAAAACATTAGACATTTATTGAGATTTCCAGTGAAAAGGATGTGTGAATGATTTTTGGAGAGTCGGTATTTTATTTTGCACTGATGGATCTTGAAACAACTAAAGGGAGCTTTGCTTGTAATATCCTTTTGTGGAAGATGAATAACTCTTAAGAGGAGTAGTGATGAAACTATTTTCATCATGTTGGAATCGGTTTGCTAGATAAGGACTTAGTCAATAGTTGACTGAAATGAAGCACATCAATTACTTGAAATCAACTACGAGACTGGCTTGTATCCGGTTTTCCATGTTTTAGGCCATGCAATCTGTTAGATTGTGACATTGTGTGCTCAAAGGCTTAAAACACATTTGGTATATTCACCAACATTCCTTCCCAGCAGCTAAGCTGATTTCTTAGGTTTCATGGAACATAGTTTCTAATGCCATAGCATTCTCTGGAAAACACCATCTTCCTTATAGTTATCATTTGAGGTTCCTCCACTGATTAAATTCGTTTTGCCAATCACCTAACACGCCAAAGCTGTTTTCACTTTTCTTATCATGTGCTATTTCTAAGTGCATATGCCCTCATTAGGGATCTCTTATCCATAGATTTTCTGTGGAGATCACTTCTACACATGTCAATGGCCTTCTAGTATTTTACGGTTTCCTCATTTTCTATTACTCATAACACAGGACCGTCAATCAATAAGATCCCTTTTTTGTCTCTAAGAATTTTCAGGTTTGAATGAGATTCACCTCTACTTTTATTCTCTTACTAAAAGTAATATTAGTAACAAAACAAGCACACACTTCAAAATGGATATTAGGATGAGATGGAGAGGACATAAATAGTAGTTGCAGAGTTTAGAGAAAATCAAGTTGGAGATGGAAATAGATTGAAAGTCAATTTGGAGTGGACCGAAAGCCTTGGCAAGGACTTTGAGAACGTCCCCCGTTTTTGTATTACATCAACCCGTACAACATCTTGTTGAAGTTAGTGGGTGTTTCGGATGGTGCTTTGATGTGTATTGGTTTTTTTTCTTTATTGTCTTGTGTCTATTTGTTTTTTGGGTTGGACAACTTGTTTAACTTTTCTCGGATGATGCAACCTTTTATTTGCTTATTAATAAATTGTTGTTTCTTATCCAAAAAAAAAACTATGAAATTAGAATTGAATGAAATTTAGGTAAATAAAGAGGTTAAAATGATTTCACAAATATTGGCCAATGAGAAGGGGGAAGGTAACTTGTTGGTGGAACATGCACATGTTGAGGTTCAATTGTAGTGTTTATACCTGTAAAGATTTACTTTTGGAATGGATGACTGAGAGTTGATTTATCTTGGTAGTTTAATGCCTCTTTTTTTCTTGGCTTCTTTTCCTGCTTATCCATTTTTTGAGTGTTATTGTATGTGAATAAAGATTGAGTCTAGTTTTGGATAAATAAGAACCGGTTTAACTTTGTATTTGATTTTTCTCACTTTCTTGGCTTCCTTCTCTGTGTGGTTTTTTTTTTTTTTTTTGTGTGCATATCTTCTGACTGAGATTAGGTTCAATGCAGATATTGAGCAGATACTCTTAGAAGCACAGCACCGATGGCTTCGTCCAGCTGAAATTTGTGAAATCCTTCGAAATTACGAAAAGTTTCATATTTCTCCGGAGCCTGCAAATAGGCCTCCAAGTAAGAATGTTAGCTACATTTCATTGGTTGACAAATACATGGATACAATTTTCAGAAAATATTTTTGGACTATCACTTCACCTCTTGGGTGGGTTGAGTGTTGAAAGTTCTCTATATGTCATCTTAGCTTTTATTTTGTTGTCAAATGTCCATTTCAAGTATGTACGGCTACTTGTTCAATTGAATAGCAGTCTCTCAAAAAATTTGCTTCTTCTATTACATGCTATAAGGTTAACCATCTGCGTAGATGGAAATTAGATCGTTTTTGATTAGAAATTCCTTTTCAGCAACCTCCTTCAAACACTTTGTAAATATTTTCTTCCTCATACAGTTGGATGCTGCACAATTCTTCTTCTTCTTCTTCATCTTTTTTATGTTTTTGTTGTTATACTCAATTATTCTCTACAAAATATATTGTGTGTATATATTTAATATTTATTGTTTAATTAGCTATTTATATAGATGTAGGATTCTATTGCTTTCTCTTTCTTACCCCTTCTCATTGAATAAGGGGTTGCAGGTCATACTCTCCATTGTGACGTTGTTCGGAAACATGAACAATTGTGCGGAAAATTTGAAGAGAGTAGGGTTTAAACTTCAAAATTGAGTGGTGCCAAGGAATAAGTAAATATTTATAACCGAAGGGTACAATGAGAATACTTAACTCTCGTGTCAACTACAATTTTTCAAAACGAAGAAATAATCCTTGTGCAAACAACACTAATTCTTAAAAAAAGACCATATGAATGTCAAATGCACTTCTTTAAAGGGAGAACATGATTCATGTTAACCAACACTAAAACTGGAAAAAGACACGATTTGGGCGTGAAATAAACCAATTCTGAGAGAGGTCCTGATTTCAGTATCAACAAGTCTATACTTGAAAGAAAACACGATTTTGGTGTGAAACACACTAATAGAAAACTTGGTTTTGTTTTTTGCGGTAATATTAAAGAAAACATGATTTTGGTGTTTAAAGCACTAGTTCTGAAGGAAAATATGAATTTTGATTTCAAATGCTCTGATTTTGAAAGGAAACATGATTGTAGTGCAGATCCACTAGTTCTACAAGAAAAACTAATAAAGAAAACAAGATTATTGTTTCAAAAACAACTATTGTTACTATTGAGACCGAGTTTGCCATCCATTGTCAATCAATCATTGCAATTGTGCATTGATGATTTTTTTTTTCTGTTTGCTGATCTGCCCATCAGTATTCAGACTATACTTTAGTTATCAATTGTCAGACAACTAATGCAACGTAAATTTTATCTTATATGCTGCAATTACATCTATTATTGACTTGTCATTTCATAGTTTTCATTGAGGATCTTGGTTGTTCTCCTCTGTTTCGCCCAATTTTTGGAAGAAGATTTATGATGTTCCATTCTCCAATTTCTATAATGTCCTTGCATTTTCACTATTCAACACTTAGCTCCTCTTTTAGGTGTGCTCCTGCGTTTTGTCTGTTACTGGAGTTGAAGAGTCAGAGCCTCATTATTAATTACATTATACATGCTCAAAATTCTAAGTGTGATTATTCTACTAGTCTGTGAATGAAAAAAACGGCATTGTTTCCATTAGGAGGCAGTTAATAATATTCATTTCTTTGGTGTTTGCTTCTATATCTATTAAAGTTTACATGTATGTCCTTTTTCAGATGGTTCTCTTTTTCTTTTTGATCGAAAGGTGTTAAGGTACTTCAGAAAAGATGGCCATAACTGGAGGAAGAAAAAAGATGGAAAAACAGTGAAAGAAGCTCATGAAAGGCTCAAGGTAAGTGCAAATGATATACCTTTGATTTTAGTGATCTCATAAAGGAAAACTTTATTTATTTTCTTTGACTGAGCAGTGAATACAATTAAATTATACTGTCTAGAAGACGCCTCATTATGTATTGTTTACTCTTTTTGTAAAAAAAAATTTCATGCCTCTAAAATAAATGTGTATATAATTATTTGTTCAGGCAGGAAGGATTGCTATGTTGCATTGCTACTATGCCCATGGAGCAGAGAATGAAAATTTTCAAAGACGCAGCTATTGGTTGCTTGAAGAGTGAGTGTACTTTGTTTGGTGTTTTGTCTGTTATGCTAAAATATTTATGGATCTCAAATTCGCCACTCTGGGACCAATCAATCCGTATCATCAAGCTAAACACAAACTCAAATGTTTTGCCATTTGTACTTAACTGTGGGATTGATCAAATAAATAGCTCTTTTACCATATACGATTCCTAATATGTTAAAATCACCTCCACTAGGCTTAAATTTCATATTGTGGACTGCAATCGTCCAAAAATCTCTTTTCTGGACTTCCATAGTGACATAAAAATATGTTAACCCATCTTTGCTATATTGTTTGGTTATTTAGCCCGAGACTTTTCTGCATTCACAGTATTCAACTGGAGTGGTGGATCTGAAGCCTTGTGTTACCAATTCCCCTTGCAGTAAATTTCTTAATATATATCATTTTCAACTGCATTTGGCTTTTTCCTGTGCCTTTGTTGCTGTACTGCACAAAAGTTAGTATAATTTGACAATTTTGAATCTCTGAGTATTTTGTGAAAGTATTTTTACTCAATAATTAGGACAAATTAAGGAGGGAAGTACATTATTACGGTGAATAGTTTTTTTAGCTATTGATTGCATGCATGTACAGTTTATTGGTGGCTATATTTTCAATGTTTTCATATTTTGTAAAGACAAAATACTGTCCCGTGAAGAAATGGATAAGAGTGTAATTTTTAACTACAGTTTTGTAGTGAACCCGTTTGTTTTGAGTCTTCTGACTAAAATTTATGGTTTGCTGTATTGGTTCTATGCTAATTGACTGGGACTGGAGATTGTAACTGTTTTCCTGTTGTACTCTCTCTCTCTGCGTGCGCGCGGCTGCTGCCATGCTGGGGATGATATGCTGTTGCTTCAGTTTGGATGGTGGCAGTAGTAATAGTTCTTGTTGTTGGCTGCTATTAATGCAATGCGGCAAATACTTTTATTACTATATTTCACTGTATCACTTAGAAAAAGTTATTGCAACTTTTGTTTCATTATGGATTCTATATCTGGGGGGTTCTTGTTGAAGCATTCTCATTTCTTTCTTATATCATTGACCACTGCTGCAGGGAGCTCTCACACATAGTTCTTGTCCATTACCGAGAAGTGAAGGTTACAATTTATACTTTTCATCCTTTTATCCTTCCTTTGTTTGTTCTAAAATTTCTTGGTCTAATTTGTATTTGATCTGGATGATTAGTCACTGGTATTGCCTTATCCGTCTTAAATCTTTGTCCCAATGAGCTATTGTAATAGTGTCTCATGAAGAAGTGGTTTTTAGGAATCACTTTGGTGCTCAAAGCACAAGGCATCTGAATTGATCTTAATAATATCTGATCTTGAAGAGGTTTTTGACATGCAAAACCACTTATTTTCAAAGCTTCGTTGACTTCCCTTACCATATATGTATTTAAGATCCTGAAAGAATTGTTCTTTTGCTTAAAAATCATTGCATATTGCTTTCTTTATCAGGGAAGTAGGACAAACTTTAATTGCGTTGGACAAGTTGAAGAAGCTATTCCTGATTCCCATGAACCCAAAGATGCACTCCATTCCGAGGTGGACAGTTCTGTATCTTCAAAATTCGACCCATATAATTACCAAGTAACGTCACAAATTACAGATACAACTAGCCTCAACAGTGGTCAGGCCTCCGAACTTGAAGATGCAGAGTCAGGTGTGTATGGTGACAAGGATTTAGGTACCATTTAAGAATTAGTTCCACAGAGAGAGGTAGTGGGAAGTAGTATTTGATAAAATTGGAGTTGACAAATCTCTGCTTAGGTACCAAGTCATCAACCCAAAGGTTTCGTTGCTGATAATTCAACACCTAAACAGTTGTTTTATTTATGGAGACGGGGATTGCAGATACCCATATCGTCCTGCGAACTGGGGTTGCCTGGCCCAAAATGGCTGGGCTCGTGATCCAAATCGTTCAGATTCCCAGCTCTAAATTGTAACCCAAACCCCAAGTCAACTCATGATCCAAGTAAAATTATAATCTTAAATGCCATATTGCAACCCTAATTTGTTATATCCTTATTTTGATAATCTTTATACTTATATTTTTACTTCTTGTGATTAGATTTTTTTTCACAATACAAATATGGAACCATTTGCTTTTGTTACTTAGAACTATTTGCCGGTACGTTGTCTCGTATTATGACTTGCTTTGGGACTCTTATCGGAGACAGAAATTAGAGGTTAGTTGACTATGTATATAAGTAATTTCCTGTAATAGTAAAAACGATCCAAATAATAGTTACAAAACGAACCATGGGTCCATGACCCAAAGCAACATACCAACTAAGTCTACCCCACTACACCACAAATCGGAAGAAATACCGTACCGCATACCAATCGATTCATTTTATGGTTTTCGCTCATATTGAAGGGCGCTGTCATCCCTAATTCATTAGAAACTATGAATGCTTCTTTGTATTCTGTGAATTGTTAATTTTCTGGTAAAATGATTTTTCTTCATGAGCTATTCACAATCATTGAAATTTTCAGCAGCATATAATCACCAACCCAGTTCTAGATTCCACTCTTTTATTGACTTACAACTGCCTGTGATGGACAAAATTGATGGGCTTTCTGTCCCCTATTATCCAGCGCCAATCTCAGGTAAAATATTTTAATCCCTTTGTTTTGTTCTATGTTTTAGCTTTTGTCATTTCTGAACTGCTTTTCAATAGTAGAACACTATAATAAGTAATGCCCTGTGTTAAAAGATGGTCACATTAAAATCTGTTAACAGACAATTATCAAGGAAACTTTCCAGATACTCCTGAAATGGACTTCGTCTCACTTTCCCAAGGAGATAAAGTTAAAAACAGCACTGATGCTGGTTTAACATATGAGCCCCAGAAACTTCTTGACTTCGCATCATGGGAGAATATTTTCGAAAACAGTGGCGCAGGATATCAATCGGTCCATTTTCAGCCATCACTATCCTCTACCCAACTTGGTACCATGAGTGTTATACCCGGACAAGGAAATAACATTATGGGGTACTCAGATGATTGTGGTAAGAAGCAGGAGTTTGGATGCCGTTCTAATGGGAAAGAAGAATGTCAGGTACACTGAATTTAAAATATCATGTGTGGGATGCCTCTTAAAGTGTTAATCTATGTTTATATAGCAATGCATGTGGTGAATATCTGAAAAACAATGATAATTGCTATCTTAATGTGGACACATTTCTTTTTCTTAACAGTGAGGCTGCGCATGGATGCATGTGTTTTATCCATATTTGTGCTGTTCTGTTGACTTCTTTCTGGTTTGGAAGATAGGTCATTTTTGTTTCTAGATTGATGTGTATGCATTCACAGAAGCATTTGCAAAATAGAAGGTTTTTTGGCAACAGGTGGTCACAGGGTCGTTGATTAAATTTCAGCCGAATAATCTTGAGCTTGTGGGTTCAAACTTGTTGGCAGTCACCTTTTCCTAATAATGCCAAAGGTTAGGTCTGTACCCAATATACTTGGCCCAGACCCCTTATTAGTCTAAGACTAAACTGGTTGTTATTTCTTAAGAAGTTTTTCTTTTTCATTTTTTTTTGTTTTTTTATTTTTTGCAGCTTGGCTAGTAGATAGTCCCACATTGGGACAAAAAAAAAAAGCTGCAGTTACCAGTTCTGATAGATTCAGTATTTACTAATACATTAAGGGAAGTGCTTTAAATTCAGCTCCTGACATTGGTATAAGTAGATAGTCCCACACTGGGATGAAAAAACAAACCTGCACTTTCCTGTTCTGATAAATTTAGTTTTGTTATATTAATACATTAAGAGAAGTGCTTTGAATCCTTTGGTAATAATTCTCAATGGATATAAAATTCAAATCAAAAGCAACTTCATGTATGGCACAGTGAAACCTGTTACAAAAATTGGATGCCATAAGTGATATGCTGTGACCATGCAGTATGATCTATTTGATGTAATGCCTGTAATAGCACATTCAGGTGGTGGTGCTTTCTATGCATGAACCTAATAAGCCATTCCACAACGAAGACCTGAGAAATGTCAGAGAAGAGAGACTCTGGAGAAAGGAACTTCTTCTAAAGAGATGTAGGAAGCAAACTGAGAGAGAGAGAAAACAAATTATCTATAAAAATATAATACCTCAGTGGACATAGAAGCATCCAACACCCATAACCCTAACGTATAGGAGCAGAATAATAAGATAGAAATTGTGCTTTGGAATTGGCACATGTAGAGAACCAAGTGAAAGTACACTTAATGGATAAAGCAAGAAACATAACTTACCTAAAAAGTTGAGATGTCTCCTTGAACCATTGAAGGCATCATGTAGCAACATCATTATTATAATTTCTGTTTTTCGCTATCCTGTTCCCACCAAGGATAAAGTTGTGGTACCTATGGAAAAGTTTTGACAATGATAACACAATTTCTTGCATGTGGATTCAGCGTGATCCTTCAGTGCTCATCTAACTAATGTAGTATTCAAGTGAACACCCAATAAAAACTGGAGTTCTGTTTTGCCCAGTTCCTGAGATTGGGAATCCTGGAGCAATGGCTGAACAACTTTGCTTGCCGCTAAGATGCATGGATACCGATTAGGATATGTGTTCAAAACACCCGACTCTTGAAAACTCAGCACAAAGTGGGACATAACTTTCTTTTAGCATATTTGTCGGGGAATAAATATATACAAAAAAAAAAAGATCAAATAAGGGTTATATAATGATCTTCGTCATCCAATTGTGCATCAAGAATTCCCACTGTTGAAGCATATTGACCATGTCATGCCCATGTCTTTGCAATATAGGGTTGCAGGATGAGAAGATAAAGCCACTGTTCAATGTTCTAGAACATACCATGGTAATATGAGAGACCTGTAATTGAAACACGAAGGAATCATAAAGTTTTATCCAATTAGAATGCTCTCAAAAGTTTCTTCCTTATCATACTAAATTGCTACTGCCCAATTATTGTAAAAGTTAGGATACTCTGTAGTTTCTTGTCCATTGCATTTTGCTTTCATAAAACTGGATTTGCTTCCAAGTGAAACTCATGCAAAGTACAATGACTTCATCTTTTTCAATCCAAAATCAGGCCAACCAGTTAACTGTCTTTGGAGCAATGATATATGACGAAGCTCTTGACTTTAGATGGAGATTTACTATGCCAAATGGATTTCTCTCAAAATTGGCTCTAAAAGGAAAAATCTTGACTAAATTCAGTGACCATTTTGGCAAGGAAGATAGGCAAATAGAATAGAGAAATTTTAGGCTTCTCCTTTCACACAGTGTGATTTGTCCAAAGAAGAGAAGGGTGTGAAAAACAGGAATGGTAGTGGCTAGAAGGAAAAAATATCTATCTCCAAGTTCACCAAAACACTCACCCAAATTAAGGGAATTGGATGGAAGTTCAAGATCATAGTGCAAGTTATGACCACTTTTTCCTTTAATGTTTTCTAAGAGTTAGCAAAAGGTATATACATTAAACACAAGTTTAGGTGATTCGTTGCATGTCTTTCTCTCGATTCCCCCAGATAAACAGACTGTCTTGTCATGCATTCCTTTTCTTTTCTCTTCTCCTTTTTTCTTCACTTATTTTACCCTTTATATATGGGAACAATTGGGTCTGTCTGGCACCCGAACTCTAGAGCTTGAATTCTAGAGCTTGAATGAATGAATAATCAACTTCTTAAATTTTACATACAAGTTTCTGTGGATGGAAGTTTTTCAAGTGCCTATTTAAGTTTAAGGTTAGAGGTGTTCAAATTTTTGATTGGCCGCAATTTCCTACCCTACCCGACCCTACTTTACCTTACTGAACGGCTAGTCGCAAAAATCGAATAGGAATGGAGAAGAGTTTTTGGTCTTCCGATTAAATCGGGTAGGAATGCGGAATACTCATCAATTTTTCGCATTCCTACCCTACTCTACCCGCAAAAAATATATTTAAATTTTATATATTTTTTTTAGTAATTAAAAGAGTATTTGTGTGATATAATTTATATTATAAATGTTGTGGATGCTTGAGTTGCGAGAATATGAACTTATTTTTTGTGTAGATTACATGATTTGTGGTGAACTGGTGATTTATTAGAGCAGTTATGACTTTAATGTGTTTCATATGGTTTAAATTTAAAATAATTGTTATTGTATTTGTGTAACAATTATGATAAATTGATGTTCATACTTTCTTATGTTTTATTGTAATTGTTGTTACAATTATTTTAGATTTGTGTTATTGATTTATTGTGTTGTTAAATTTGTGCATGTTATTTAATTGAATTATTAAAATGATCCAAAAAATAATAGTTGCAAAAGTTTTACCCAACTTCCTACCCGAGGAAGTCGGGTAGGAATGCCACATCTGATCGGGTAGGGTAGGCCAAGAAAAAATTCTTCCGCAAAGTATCGGGTAGGAAGACAGAAGACTATATTTTCTAACCGTAGGGTAGGGTAGGGTGAACACCCCTACTCAAGGTATGTTGACTCTCATCCTTTTTGCCCAAACAAAGTTGAAATTGGATTCTGTATATGGATTGTGTACTGCATCTGTATCTGGATTTCGGTAAACCTGGTGTAAAATATGAAGTATGTGGTTCATAAGGTTCCATATTTTGGTTATATTTCTTGTTATTCGGTCTAAGGGAGCCTGATCATTCATAGTTGTTGATCTGATGGTAGTGTTGCATGATATTTTTTATTTGTTTTAACTATCCTTAACATGATAATGGGAAGCAGATTGCCTTTCGTTGTAGCAGGCATAGTGTATATTTTGATTACTTCATTGGATTTTATTTTCATTTGCTATTTTATATCCCACCTGATTTTTTTTTTCAATAGTCATATTTGGACTTTTTGATTATTATACAGAGGGGATGGATGTACAGCCGTGCATCAGACTCATATGACTAACTGAATATTTGATTCCTTCCCTATCTCTTTTCTTATTCTGCTATTCTCCTCCTACTTATCTTCTTATCTTCATTTCTTCTTCTTTCAACATGGATCATTGTGGTGTCAAAGCTTCAGTTTATACTAGTTGGTACCAGAGCTTCGATCTCCATCAGTTGACAGCTGATGTCAGAGCTTTGATTTATATCAAATCATTGCATGCCTGTTTGAAACAAGTGATATAATCTTCTATTCGGTTTATTTAACATCTTATATTTGCTTTAAATGCTTTTATTCTGTTTTGTAGTTGCAAAGTTTTCTTATGGGTAACTTAATCTGCTAGTTTTTTTGTAGTGCCCTAATTATTTTTATATATAAGGTTCATAATGACTTTTTGCGTTTCTTGCTTTTTCTTGTACACTAAGACTGTAAAGGCTATCTTTTGCCTCCTCCATATAATGTTCTTGGGCTTTAACTGGGCTCTCTAACAGGCTTCTGAAGATGATTCTTCAAACATAGCAAAGTGGCCAATAGATCAGAAGTTGCATTCAGACTTAGCATATCAACTCTCCTCTAGGTTTCACGAAGACCAAATTAACTGTGTGGATTTACTGGATTCACTGGAGCCTTTACATACGCATCCTGCTGAGCAAAATAAGCATCCAATTCGAAATGGTCCTCAAATACAGCTTATGCATGAAGAAAGTGGATATTCTCTGAAATTGGATTTGGAGAAGAACTATCAGAGTATGGAGAGCAAAACCGATTATTCAGCTTTGAAACAGCCTTTGTTAGATGGTGTTCAAAGAGAAGGTCTGAAGAAGCTTGACAGCTTTGACCGATGGATGAGTAAGGAACTTGGAGACGTAAACCAATTACATACCCAGGCTAGTTCTGAATCCTACTGGGATACTGTTGGAAGTGAAGATGGAGTTGGTGATTCTAGTATTGCCCCGCAGGAGCACTTAGACACCTATATGCTGGGTCTTTCTCTCTCTCAGGATCAGCTCTTTAGCATTATTGACTTCTCACCTAATTGGGCATTTGCTGGGTCGGAAGTCAAGGTACATTTAGCATTATTTTGCGTACTCTGTGCTGTAATGTGGATTAGGCTTTTGAATGTCTCAGCTGTTCATTATATAGTAGGTCAATGCGTAAGTGAGATGCATATTTGTGCTTGCTAGCAAGAGTAATTTTACAGAATGAAATTAGTTAAAGTTGTTTTATAATATGGTTTGATGTTCCTTATATATTTCACGACCAGGTTTTAATTATGGGGAGATTCTTAATGAGTCGGCAAGATGTGGAGAAGTGTAAATGGGCATGTATGTTTGGGGAACTGGAAGTTCCAGCAGAAGTCATAGCAGATGGTGTTCTCCGTTGCCATACACCCCTTCACAAAGCTGGAAAGGTTCCTTTCTATGTAACGAGTTCCAATAGGTTAGCATGTAGTGAAGTGCAAGAATTTGAATATCGAGTTAGTACTGTTCAAGATATGGATTTTGCAGACATAAATACTAGTGAAAATCTTCTTCATATGCGATTTGCAAAGTTATTGTCTCTGGTATCGGTCCCCAGCAATGTGGATGATAATTCTGTAGTTAGCGATAAAATCAATTCAATAATGAAAGAGGACAACAATGAGTGGGACCAAATGTTAAAGCTCACAACTGAGGATGAGTTCTCTGTAGAAAAAGTAAAGGAGCAATTGCTACAAAAGCTGCTAAAAGAGAAATTGCAAGTATGGCTCCTTCACAAGGCTGCTGAAGGTGGAAAAGGCCCTGGTGTATTGGATGAGGGTGGCCAAGGTGTGTTGCATTTTGCAGCTGCTCTGGGTTATGACTGGGCCATACCACTGACAGTAGCAGCAGGTGTTAGTGTCAATTTTCGTGATGTGAATGGATGGACCGCACTCCATTGGGCAGCATCTTGTGGCAGGTAGAGAGCACAAATTTATTTTTATTTTTATATTTTTCTGTGACGCTCGCTTCTGAAACTTTTTCTTTTCTTGTTTTACTTTCATGTGTACAAGAAAACATGTACTAAAAGAACGACTTTAGGTATTATTATGCTATAACTAGTATGTGTTTCGAGTATGCAAGTGGTGTGTTTTGAAGTTTTCATTAGATAACTTTTTGGACTATCAACTTTCACTGAATTCTAATGACCACTCTTTTTTGTCCTGGTGTCTTGTTGTCTACTTTGTTGAACCTTTGTGATATTAGAGAGCGGACAATTGGTTTCCTCATCTCTTTAGGTGCAGATCCTGGGGCGGTGACAGATCCTACGCCAATATATCCTTCAGGCAGAACACCGGCAGACCTAGCGTCTAGCAATGGACACAAAGGAATTGCAGGTTATCTTGCAGAATCTGCCTTGAGCTCCCACCTATTGTCCCTTGAGCTGAAGGATGCCAATGAGGGTGATGATGGAGAAATTTCTATAGGAAAAGCTGTGCAAACAGTCACTGAACGGACTGCAACTCCAGTCAGTGGTGGGGACTTGCCACATGGGTTGTCATTGAAAGATTCTTTAGCTGCCGTCTGTAACGCTACCCAAGCTGCTGCTCGCATTCATCAAGTCTTCAGGGTGCAGTCATTCCAACAGAAGCAGCTGAAAGAGTACGGTGATGGCAAATTTGGAATGTCGGATGAGCGTGTTCTTTCACATATTGCTATGAAGACGAACAACACAACACAACATGCTGAGCCGGTGCATGCGGCTGCAGTACGAATACAAAATAAGTTCCGCAGTTGGAAGGGCAGAAAAGAGTTTTTGATTGTCCGGCAGCAAATTGTCAAAATTCAGGTAGGTGCAATGGAATTGGAGCCCTTCTCTCTCTCTCTCTCTCTCTCGATTTTATGTCAACTTTATCATACCATTTCTTCATTCAAGTCCAGTTCTTGAACTCTTTTGACTTTTTGCTTTTCTGGTGAAAAGGCCCATGTAAGAGGCCACCAGGTGAGGAAGAATTATAAGAAAATAGTATGGTCTGTAAGTATTCTGGAGAAGGTAATTTTGCGCTGGAGGAGAAAAGGAAGTGGCTTGCGTGGATTCAAATCAGATGCTCTCACTGATGGCCACAGCATGCAAGATGTCTCATCAACGGAAGATGACTATGATTTTCTGAAAGAAGGCAGAAAGCAAACAGAAGAAAGGTACCAAAAGGCTCTTGCTAGGGTGAAGTCCATGGTTCAGTATCCAGAAGCAAGAGATCAATACCGTAGGCTTTTGAACGTTGTGTCAGAGATGCAGGAAACTAAGGTATTTCTACTTTGTAATGCTTTGAAAGCTACTTAAAATATGAATTTTCCTACCTTTCTGTTTTCACAAACTCATCCTAGGATTTGGCATTTGGAATATTGTATAGAAGTTATAGTGTTGGGACTTGGTCTCTATTCGGCCTTTGAGAGTTTCAGTCAGATTTGAATCACATAATCATCAATGAACTATGAAAATTATGCAGGACTTCAGTACCTTACGAACACGCAATGTCAATGTTGTTGGTTCTCGCTGATATCACGAAGCAGCAGGGAGCTGATGGCAATATAGGAAAGAAATCTTAAAACCTGTAACCTATCAATTCAAACCATAGAATAATAGTCATAAAGATTGAATCAAATGTCATGTGACTAACTTCAAAAACCTTGAATCGTGTATGCCCTCGTATTCGGATTCTTGTATTGGATAACATAATATTAATTGAGCTTTTCATCCCTGAATTCTGAGTTGGATGGACTTTGCTTGTAATGATGGTGTACCTGAACTTGTACATGTTTTCTGTTTGATTCATGTTTCAGACTCTGTATGATCGGGTTCTGAACAGTTCAGAAGAGGCAGCTAAATTTGATGATGATTTGGTTGGTCTTGAAGCATTTTTAGGAGATGATACCCTCGTGACAAACAGCATCTTAAGTTAAGCCCTCACATCGATCCTCTCACGAAACTGCTCATTTATCTGTCTGTCAACTGGTGGTAAAGCTGTATCATAGGTTGCGCTAATGTTCATTGGTAAATTTGATTCAATCGATGTAGCCATCCTGTATGTCTGTGAAGTTGATAGTATTTATAGAAGGTGGTGGCGATGCCAAAATGTAAAGCTTGCTTCTGTGTGTTGGTTTTTGGTGGGTATGCTTGTATATCTGTGTGTGGATGTTGCTTCTACTGTAAGTATAGTAATACTGGATGGATGGTGCTTTTACTGTAATTATAGTAATTCTTGTGATGACTCATACTATATGGTCCGTAAGAACACGACACCTACGTATAAACTAGTTTATTTGTATGGAAACTAAGGGTTATCCGTGTTTGAAGGTATGGTGCAATATAAATGGTTTTAAAAGAAATGTTAGTGACCGTTTGATAAGTCTATTTGAGACCGTTAGATGACTTTATTAAAACTTATTCTATTTTATATTATAAATAGGTGATACAAACAGAAGCATAACTATGCATGATTTCCATTGCTTTTAGGTTAGGATGTTGGAACAACTCTAACAAGGCATTATAGGATAATCAAATGGTGAATCGCCCACACAGGAGCCTTCAAAGTCTTATTGATTTTTAAAAATACTAAGTTAATTGGAAATTGAGAGAGAATTCGTTTTTAAATTTTATTTAAGAAAAAAAAATCAATGCTAAATAAGTTTTCACCATAATATAAATAAAAAATCTTATTAGTCCTAAATTACCAAAAAAATCAAAAAAAAATACTAAATATTACAAAAATACTTCAAACAACATGATAAAATAAAAAAAATATCTAAAAAGTGTCATATACGTCATTTTTGGTTAAAAACAATTATGTTGAAAACACAACATTCCAGTTTTTCTTAGATTACCAAAAGTTCTTTGGAATGGGATCTTATAAAATTTTTTGACACTATCGTTCAAAATCTACTCTGAGTGAAGCCATAGAATCTCAAATCAACACTGTCTTTGACAATCTTGATTTGCCATATAATTTTCTGGTATACACGCCGCAACAAAAGGGGTAATGGTTTGCCTTTGGTGAAGGGTTCAGGAATACTAATTTGTGGCATCCACTGGCACTACACTCCAGTTAGAGACCGTTGATGTTTATACCCAATGCACCAAAGCTCTCGTTTATAGTGGCGTAGACAATCTTATACCATATGAAGAGGCTAATCCCTTGAGAAACACCAACACTAAAAATTTGGGAGCAACTGCAAACAATTGCATTTCAACAGTTGAAGCGACATGAGCCACTAAAATATGTCCACAATGTCCTCACCACACCACCCATGTACACTTTTGGATTAACAAAGAATAGTGAGCTTCCACTATCCAGTGCATTGCAACCACCTAAGTGCAACACTTTTTCACACTATAACTCACCTCAAAATACATCAAAATCTTCCCAGAAATTAAAAGAGGGGGCAAGTAAAAGCACAATGGTAAGCTAAAAGAAGGAAAATCTAATCAAAATTGGAAACTACAGACTTTCGAAACTGAAAAGTTAATTCCTCTTACTCAGCTTGTGCGGCCAGCAGCCAGTCTCTCATAGAACAATATATACCCATGATCAGTGTTACTAGAAAACTCCTGGGCCGACCCAAAGAAAGTCTGCACGGCAGACTCATCAATCATCTCCATATTCTCGTCATCAAAGAATAACCAATGGTTATGGCTTTTTACAAGGCTGACATAGTGTCCGTGGTTGGGCCCGCTACCCACATGAACAACTACAGCAAATAAGGAATACTCAGCATCTGCATCCTCCACCGTATTGTTCAACTTCAACTCCAATGGGAAAACAACGCGATAAGATAGCTTCTTGTGCCGGCTCAGCTGCTCAATGTACTTGAATCGCTTTAGATGGATGACAAGAATGTGAGGTGGCCTTTTTATCTTCATTCTCTTCTGGGCCTCCTGCAAGCTGCATTTTGAGACAAGGCACCATAGTTATAGGACAAGAAGTTAATGACATAGAGATGCAAACATCGTTTTTTCTCCTTTCGTTCAACTATCCTGCTTTCTCAAGGGACCACTCAACTTTGTAATTGCAGCATGCCCACGTCCGCTTCTATGGAACCATCAAGTGTTAGTTACAGGCGAAACAAATCTATAACCTCATTTTAAAAGCTGTCAAGTAGCAAAATTATGAAGAAATGTATAAGTATAAAATTAGTTGTTAACAGGTAAAGTCATTCTATGATAAAAGCAATACCAAAAAAGGGCGTCCTAGTGTACAAAGCTGCCACCACTGCAGAGTTTGTGCGTAGAAGTATGCAACCCTTCCCCCCACATGCGGTGAGGCTGTTTCCACGACTCAAACCTTGACGCTCAGGTTATAATTTTTTTTTGGGAAGGGGAAGGGGAAGGGGAAGGGGAAGGGGGGAGGGGGACTAGAACCCTTGACCTCGAAAAGACAAAACTTTTATAAGACAAGGAGTACCATTAGACCAAATGCCCATTGGTACGCTCAGGTTATAATAAAGCCATATTGTGGCAACTAAATGGCTTCACAAATCTACACAGTAGCTTCATTATCAATGTTTGGTTTAGTCCTACGTAAGCGCTATAGTGCCACATACTTTGACTACACTAGCCGATCCAATGGAAAAAAGGCAACCTATGAACATGTTTACTTCATTAAGGTCGACATATTTGTATCGAATTCAATACTTGTTGGATACTCGAGGATATGTATCTAACACACCCCTTTCGTATCCGATAATAATAAAATATGTGGATATTTTTGTATTGGTGCAGTATGTATAATTTTTAAATTTAATCTTTATCATCTCCCTTTGAATTCACATACAATGCAATAAATCAATAAAATCCATACAATTTTGAAGACATGGGTGTTATTAAGTATTATATACAATTATATGTCCAAAAGTATCAAATGAATTTATGATTCTATAATTTTAGCAGAAAATACTTCTAAGCAAACTAATAAAGTAATTATTGGTTCTAATTCCTATAATTTGTAATTCATTTTGTGAATATAATATAATGAGACGAAATATACCTTTTTTTAAAGTAAAAAAAATTGCTAATTTTGCTTCTTCTTGTTAAAGATTTACCAAAATATATAATTATTAAGTCGGTAGACAATAATATAATATTAAATGTATTTTACTACTGACATATCTTGGTCATATCCGTATTCTACTTTTTTAGATTTTATCGTATCACCGTATCTATATCGTATCGTACTCATATTGCGTGTCTGTATCCATGCTTCATAGAAGCTAACTAACGATAACATTGTATGACAACTCAACCAAACTATACTTCACAAATCCACCTACCTGCAGCACTTGTCACAAAAGAATTTGTCCTCTGCATTCAAAGTCTCAGTAGCACTAAAATTTTTCAGACAGCTAGTAATTGAGCTGTTCTGCTCAATATCAAGGCTCAAGTCCAGAAATGTTTCATCCCTTGCAGTTACAATTTCACACCGTAAGCATCTCGTTTCATTTGTGAGTATACCCTGAGGAATAGCCATCAAGGACAATCAGATTCCATCCATCCATCTTCCTTCAAAAACATATCACAAGCAACTAAAGAGAACATATGAATAGATATGAAAAATTCACCTGAAAATTTTTGTGCACCCAGGTGTCCAGCGGCTCTTTTTGAGCACCATTTGCATGAGCACTCTTTGGTCCATTTGCAATCTTTCCAGATGGTGATGAAGTTTCTGGATCACTCTTTGCAGCATGGGACTCTTTCTCCAGTATGTCAACGAGTTCATTTAGCAAATAGTTCAAAAACTCGTGTGCATCCTATGCACAACAGGAAGATTTAGGTTTTCTTTGGAGATTTGAAGACTAGATTCGTTTAGTTGAAGAAATTGTAGAAAAATTGATGTCACCATTTACTCTGAGATTTACATGAAATGATGCACCAAAAAAGCAAAACCAATTTTACTTTTGTACACGTCTCAGGTACCCCATCCACTGGCAAATTATTCCATGAAACAGGTGCAGGGTGATAAATGAATATCTCATGCAGCGATACTTGATGTTAATTAATAGTACAAGAGTGTCTAAATGGGGAATGGAATAAAGATAATTAAGATCCCACCAATGGGGCCCTAAGCACTCCGATCACCATAAAACCATCATCACTCGTTAAGGCATTAAACTATCAGTTATCGAAAAATGCATGGGATTGTAATATCGTATCCTCTAAACTCATACACTGGTCGAAAGAAGCAAAGAAACAGAAGATGTTAGATGTCCCACACATACACAAGAAAAGGTGGAACAATAGAGCTTGGCAAAAAATGGAACTCTGTGGAAAACTACTGTTCAGAAAAAAAGAAGTCAGGTAGAAATGAAATGTATTGCAAATGCAATTCCAGAAGAAATACTAACCACTATATCAAAAGAACTCCTCAGTCCTGGCCCTAGAGACAGTCCTACAAGTTCCCAAAGTTGCAAGTTCAATGCTCCCCATCCAAGCCTTATTCCCCCTAATTCTTTATTTATGTTCGCAAGAGGAATATCTGCCATTAAAGGGCTCGTATTAAAGAGCCCATAGATATTCCATTACTGATGTTCCAAAACCAAAAGCATTGCATCATGACTTTCTCTCATATACTTGCTAGAATCCTTCATTTTTGGTTGGCTTACCTTCGTGACGCACTCCATCTGATTGGCCATTTACATGGTTGCTATATAGTATGAGATGTTTCAGAAGGAAAAGGCTTGCAGCCTATATAGTATAAGATGTTCCAGAAGGAAAAGGCTTGCAGCCGTTCTATTTTCTCCAAGAAGAAAAAGAACATCTTCATTTCACCACAATATGCCATCCTGTCTTATGTTTAATCAATTTTTTTTCCCAAAAAATTGCCAGTTTGCCACTGCTTAATCATGTTCCATTTGTTGAACCGACATATCAAACCCACAGACATAGGTTTTGAATTACAACAAAAAAACACAGTAATACAAAAGGTGGTCAGGCATTCTATTTTACAATTTTTTTGCCACCCAAGGCTTGTAGGTTGTTAGATCCATCCATAAAATCAGTTATTAGTCAACAACAAAAAGCACAACTTTTAATGTTGCAGGAACTCATATCTGAGATCTACATATCAAAACCAACACAGACACTTTTTCATGGTATGCAATCACATACCTGGTGCATATAGCTGCGGAAAATCTCATTTTGCTTCTTCAGTCTCTGAACAAAGCGCTTTGGACTGATAACACCTGTCTTCTTCTTTTGTGAACTTATCTACATAAAGGAACAAGTGTAAGCCTGGGAAACATTAATTACTTATCCCTAAAAAAAGTAACCATTGATAATTATCTAGGAGTCCATTTTTGGGATCTGGTTATTGAAAGAGTACAGAAAAGATTATAGCGGTGGAAGAGAGCATTTATTTTCAAAGGAGGTAGGTTAACGTTTGTGTAGTCTGTCTTGGGAAGTATACCAACTTCCTCTCTATCCTTATTTAAGATATCCAGGAAGATTGCAATGAGGATTGAAAAAATGATGAGAGACTTTAAGTGGGAGAGGTGTGGTGAATGAAAGTGTCTAGATCTAGGGATAAAGGTGGTCTTTCAATTGGTAACTTGGAGGTAAGAAATATTGCTCCAGTGGGAAAGTGGTTTGGAGGTTTCCCTTGGAACAAAATTCTCTTTGGCATTTAGTTATTAAGAGCAAATATGGTTTACCGGCCAATGGATGGGACACTAGTAGATTTGAGTGGGGATGTTACCAATGCCCATGAAAATTCATATCTCAAGGTTTGGCAAGGTTTTACCAAAATATTAAATTTGTTGTTTGTAATGGGAAGAGAATTCGCTTTTGGGAGGATCTTTGAGTTGGGGAGTCTTTGTTGTCCTCTTTGTATCCATATCTTTATTGTTTTTCTCACTTTCATGATGTTTCCATTGCTTCCATGCTTACGTCTCATAATTATCCTATTCTTGGGATTTTGGTTTCCATAGAAGTCCATATGATAGAGATACGATTGAGTTGATGTCTTTTCTTGCCATTTTAAATGATTATTTATTCATTCAAGAGTCATGTGATAAAAGAAATTGGATTCTTGAGTCTTCAGGTGTTTTCTCCACTAAATCTTTCCATGATTCTCTTATTGTTGAACCCTCTTATCCCCTCTTTATTCCCGCTATGATGATTTAGAGGACAAAAGTGTCAGGGTGCAAGTTTTTGCATTGACTGTCGCACATGATAAGATTAATACTAATAATTTGCTTTTAAAAAAATGGTATAATACTTACCTTTCTCCTAAGTGGTGTGTGAAGTGCAAAGGTGATTATAAAAGTATTATCCATTTATTTTTAGATTGTCCTCTTGCTTTGTCTTTTTGGCATAAGTTGCTTCACTTGGTGAGTTTGAATTGGGTTCCTCCCACATCATCCATTTCGTTGTTTGTGTAAGACTTGAAAGGACTTGGGTCTATTGATAAGGGTGTCCCTCTATAGAATTGTGCATTCATGACAACTTTTTGGGTTATATGGAAAGAGAGAAGAAATGCAAGAATCTTTGAAGATCGGTACGAGCGTATGGACGAATTATGGGATTGGATTCATTTTATTTCGTCATTTTGGGCTTCAGTCTCTAAGGATTTCAAAGGAGTCCCACTCTTTGCTATTTTATCGGGATGGAGAGCTTGATATATAATTCTTTTATGTCTTTGCCTTTCATTGTACTTTCATGTAATTCTACTTTTTTTTAATACAAAATGTTTCGTTTCCTATAAAAAAAATCTAGGAGTCCATGAAACATGTAAAACCATGCAAAGAACACAAATAGAGTATCCACTGTAGCCAAATAATTGATAAAGTGTGTACACCCATAGCAGTAGCAGTTCACAGCGTGAACCTCCCAATACCAATCCTATAAAAGGTATAAACTGTAGAACATCCCTTCCATATGGGTGATTCAAACATCTCTATTGCCATCGCTTTCTACTAAAAGAATACATAACTTTGCTCCTTCCATTTGCAAAAAATTTCTCAGATGCCAAATTTAAGTAAAGAAATAAAAAGACCCAAGCTCCAGGTAATTCAGAATACAATATAAGATCCATGCAGGACAAGCATCTACAGAAAAGAAAGAGATTAAAGAAAATCAAAATGTAGCTAATTAGATATAGGAAATATAGCTGTAATTGGATTGTGGAGCAACTGCTTCGTTGGAACAAAGGAATTGGAAGAATACAATACTATATGACTTTTTTGCATCACCATATCTTGCTAGAGGCTGATATTCTTTGAAGACTAGTGGTTCATTACTCAAATTGGTTCTTGGATCCTATGCCCAAAAGGATGACTGGGTTCGGGGTTTGAGTGTTTATCAATCAAGTGGATCTATACTTGTGAGGAATGCCATACGACTTATCCCATTAATGACTGCAGTTTATGACCTAGGGTTTTCTTATATACTTGGTTAATCCGCTTTCTTCTTAAGTAGTTCCTCCACTCAAAATGGTTACTGTAGAATAATAGGTTGGCATCCCAAAACAAAAAAAAAACTTGTCCACTCACCACTTGTAAGTCCTCAAATCAACTACAAACATACCTAATGAAGACAACCCCCATACATTTCCACAGTAAAATTGAACTACCTTAACAAAAGAACAAGTTTTGCTTGATTCATTAAAAAGGGTACATTCCGCCCAACATTTTCTAAAAGTTATACCTGCATAAATAGGTCTGCCAGGCACGTCAACAGACTTTCTTCTGCATCAGCAAGATTTTTGTTATTCGAGTAATATTCTATTAACTGCTCACGAAATGGCACACAGAAATAAAGAGCCTGCATTAGAAAGGTCAGCAAGATCAGAAATTTTGTAAAAAGAGTTTTCAGTATGGATACATATGGAACAAAAGCTTCCTCAATTGTGGAAAGGGAATGCCACAAGCAGATATATTTCACTAGTCTATATTAGACAATCTTGATGCCCTTAATCATTCCTGTACTTCAGCCTTTAATACCGATATGCAAGTTAGAATCTCTCACTTTTTCGAAGGGAGATGACCAGTACTGCATTCCACAAAACAGGACTATCAATATCATATGCTCAATGAAGACTCAGCAGATACACCTCCAAATCTATGCTATCTAAGACTTAGTCCTTCCTACAGTTAAAAAATAGACAAGGCATATCAAATTCTTTTCAATGGCCGTTACTTCAAGTGGGCCCAACTTTTGCTTGATTCTCTATTAGTCAATAACTACTTAATATTACTTAATACTTGCATATAGTTCAAAATTTTCTTAAGTTTTAATTATGCCCACCCAATTTATGTCAATTATTGCACCCATACTTAAATGACTATCAATTCTTAGACGTGCTTTTGACACGTCTAGATAAGATTTTGGACATATTGAACTCATATTGTGATTTCAAGAAAAATATGAGATTATTTTGGTATCAAACGGAAATTAGTGTCATTATTAATTACATGTATGGAGAAAGACGTTCTCGATGGTAATGTCGATATTAATAATGTAGTTATTATGCAACCATTTTAAAATATAAAAAATGATCGGGTCAATTATTAATGAATGCACTTGATCTAAATTTTTTGTTTTTGCTTGATGCATTATGAATACTAAACTTTAGTCCTTTTGTGTTGAATGAATATTTAAGTGTGAAATATGATGTGAATAAATATTAATATATTATCTTGCTTTTGTGCATTTGGTGAAAAATTAAATTGCTAAAGTGCCCACCCTAAAACAATTCTCTTGCTCCTCCCTTGGTTATCAATAGACAACTTTGAAGCCTACAAAGTTCACAAAGAATAATATGCAACAAAAAATAATAAATGATAACCAATTAATCAGTGCATTTAATGAAGATAATAAATGATAAGCAAAGTATCCTTATCTAAACTCTAATGCTTTGTTTGGTGACATGGGATCAGGGACCTAGAATTGAAATTTAAAGAAAAAAACGTTACCATTCCAATCCCGATTGGAACGGATTTCGTGCAGCCAAAGTAGTGTATCAAAAGCAACATTCAACCAGTAGAATGACACACACACACACACACACACACAAATACCCACACAGCGTATACATAACACCTAAGTACTTTTCAACATCATTCCACAAGTGCCAAATCAAACCAAAATAGCAACTACAGGACATCAATCTTTATCAATCAGACACCACCACCATCAAAATTCAGATCCCAACAAGCAAGAGAGAATCAAACGACTAAGAAACAAAAAAATTCAATAATTTCAGAACAATCTAATGAATTACAGAAACCACGGGCAATGTCGATTGAGTTGAAAATCGAAATCGTACCTGCAAGACGCTATTACAGTAACAAGTGTTGCCAAAATTCTCGAATCCAAAGTACCGCTCGCCTTCGGGGAACTGATCTCCCAGAGCTTTCTCGAGTTTCGAGCCTGCAGCGCCCATTTCAGTACATCCGAACTCCACTCTCTTTCTCACTCTACACTTCTCTCTCTAAATCTATATATGTATATGCGCATATATCTCCGGGTGTATTGTGTGAATGGATTTGCTAGGATTTATTTGATTGAAGGAGAGAGAGAGAATATAATTGATGTGTTTTTTCTTAAAATAAAATATAAAAGAAAAAAAAAAAAAAATAACAACAACAACATAAAACTAAAGTATTTTTTTTATTTTTAGAATTTAAAATTAAAATAAACATAAAAAAAATAAGAGAGCGGTAGGTATGAATTAACGAAATTCTCTACGTGTTGGTTGAATTGTTTAGACTTATGCTTCGTTTGGTATGATAGAAAAATGGAAGAATAGAAAGTTGAAAGGTATAAATAAAATATCATATTTGGTAAAGAAGGAAATAGAAAAGATAAAAAAGTGGATGAATTAACTTTCCTTTCAACTCACCAAAATCAATTCTTCCAAAATCGGATGGAAAATTAATTATTTGTATTGAGATGAATCTTATTTGTCTATATATCTTTTAATATATACATATATTTTGTATAATAATATAATAATAAAATACGTATATATATATTTAAAAAATTAAAAATAAATAAATAAATAATTTAAATTTTAAATTTAAAAAAAAATTCATCTTAACTAGGAGTAAAAAATTTTGACTCAAGATAATGATACGAATCGAACGAACACGAATTTTATGACACAAACTTGATTATAACTTGACATGAACTTGAAAATGACTTGACATGCGAACAAGAAATATAAAAATTCATAATTTTATGATTCAACACAAATCTGACAAGATACGATTTGATTGTCGCGCCATAATATTAGCTAGCACAAAAAAAAAATTAGTCATTTTTATTTTTCATCCATTCAACTAAATACAAAGAAATAAAAGTGTATCATTTCTACTTTTTATCCTTAAATGATAGAAATTATATTCTTTTTACTTTCTATCCTTCTTACTAAACAGAGCATTATGAAAACGCATAAAAAATATGATATTTTTGGGCAAAAAAAAAATACTTTAGAATGAATTTAATATCATAAAATTACATGAAGATTAAATTAATTTAATAAAATTTATTAAAAAGGATAAGTTCAAATCCTCTTAGGTCAATGGATCCAAACATAGTTGTTTTAAGGTAAAAAGGACACACTATTGTTAATTGGACTTGGTTACGATATCAATAAAAAACAATTGGTATCGTAGCTGCAAAATTTATTATTTTAGCATATTTTTATAATTTTTGTGAGTTATTTTATAATAAAAAATATTTAATTTTTTTGAGTGATTTATCACTATTACAAGTGTATTTATTCTATTGTGGTAACTAATTTTCTTCGATACAAAAAAAAATTATTATTTTTGTAGATAATTTATAATATTTGTGAATATTTTTATCATTGATGTAATAATTATTGTTATCACTTTTTTTAGTATTACAATAATGATAAAAATATCAATAATAATAATAAAAATATTCATAATAATGATAAAAATATTTACAAATATAATAGATAGATATCTAATATCAATTTTATTTTTTATTTTTTTTTACCATAACACAACTCCTTTGTTAATTATGGAATACATACTACGGTCTAAACTAACAAAGACCGTTATTTCTATTACAAACTACCCCTAAAAAGTTTTTAATGCATAAATCATTGTTGCTCTCTCTCATCCTCCCCATCTTTTCAAAAAGATACAAAAGTTAGGCTTTAAAGTATCATTGTGGGCAGTACAAGATACTGTCTTTCTCCTTATCTTTTCCTTCACCGTCGACGGTGGCTTAATTAACGGTGCAGCCGACAAAGAAGAAAAAGATGTGATCGTGACCGTTGGGTTGGTGGAAAGGTCTTGCAAGGTCGCAGAAACAAACAGTTTGTTGTTAAGATCATTAAAAATCAACTTGGCTTTAATTAAATGTCTAATAGTTTTGAGAGAGGTCCGTAATCGTTAGATGAATGTATTTAGATTATCAGATGGGTTTATTGAAGTCTATCTTATTTTATATTATCGAATATTTTTTTGTCAATGATCATAGATGTTGGTATTAATTTAAACATATTTCAATTAATTTTTTCTTCGATTTAATTAAAGACATATTATCCATAACAAAATTAATTTATTTATGAAAGATAAATCATTCATGAACGACTCTTAAAGAATTGTCAATATTTGAATTTAAGACGTCTGAATTTATAACTTATCTCTATTACCACTTGATCTCTCTCTTGGAGTTAACAAACATAATATCAAGGCATTGATTGAAGCTTTTTCTATTATGGTGCAAGTATATAAGAAGTTTGCTCTCGAGGAAAAGATTTACATTGTCTGTATTTATAATTACTTCGTGTATCAATTTATGTATTGTATATCAAACATGAATATAGACCGAATTCAATATTGAATCTCATATTTGTAAGAGGGATTTGAGTTTGAAAATATGTGAAAAAATTAATTCAAACCCTCCCTAAAAATCTATCCAACCAAGAGCCTCTATAAATTGAGCCAAGTAAAGCCCCTTTTATCCTTGGGCTTATTAGAACATATTCAATTCTTAATATTTTTTAAACTCAAATTTAAATTTGAGTAAAATGCTCTTCAAAATTTTCTCTAATGTTAGATTTATATTCATATCAAATGAAAGACTTATTTTTTTACTCAGATCAAGATAAGCACATTTTTTTTACTCTCTTGAAAGAAAAAAAAACTTGTCATCGAATTTTCATTATTTAAAATAGCATGGTACGTTTGCACCTGTCTGCATTCGCTTTATACTTCAAATTGACTTTCTCAAACCCTCCACGAATTATCATAAATTCATGTTCACGTTTGCTTTTCAAGACAAAATATGTTGTGAAAGACGGTGTATAAGTATTGATTTTGAATTGCTTGTTAGTTGTCAAATCAATAACTTTTGGTCTAACAGTACTCCTTGCCTTATAAAATTTTGTCTTCTTAAGGTCAATGGTTCAAGTCTCCTTCTCCTTCCCCACTCCAAAAAAAAATATTAGTTACTTCAAGAAAATTAATTGCTTGTTAGTTGCCAAAACAATATTTGGTTATTTCAAGATAATTGTATGTAGTCTTCTTTGCATCTAGGTACACTTTGGATAAATATACTATACACAACCATCAATTCTCTTGAACTACTGTGATAGTAAGTAAAATCAATGGGTAAACTTTCATTAGCTAAAGATTTTATCACAACTTTTATTTTTTTCAAAGGTTTCATCATCGAGTATTGATGTATCTGATCCACATACAGTGACTTCAGCTGATGTTGTTTTAGAATCACTATTTGCTTCAACCCCTTTCTTGATATTTTTCTCCCTCAACATTATCACAAGTCTATTCGGTCTTAATTCATTATCGCCGTCGATTTTTGGATCTTCACAACTTTCAATTTTTTTTTAATCCCTCCTCTGTATGCTTGAAAAATTCACATTTATAGATTTTTGATATGAAACTTAACACACAAAATAATCATCATATAATGAAACAGATTGTGACCCAGTATTACCTCGAGTTGATTGTTGCGATCCAAACACCTTTTGTTGCATCATAGATTGATAGACATTATATTCTTTAACATCATTGCAATATGCAATAGGTAATAGGTGATAGTCCGATAGACAATCTCGATGAAGTTGAACACAAGTTCTATCACCGTCCAACATCCCATCTCGATTAAGATCTTGGTGTGGACACAATACCAATTGAGCAATTGTAGCCTGCAGTTCTTACAAGACATACTGGGTATGCTGTTGGATTTGTTGGAACCATTGCTCGTGTTGGTGATGAACCATGAATTCTTCCATTACCACCTTCATAGAAAAAGTTGTCACCGCTTTGATGATTAACAATTATGTCATGTCAGTTAAGACTTTGATATTAATTGACGTAGTGATAAGTAAGGACATAAAAAAGTCACAATTTTTAAGTGTTAAAGAACACTACACATTCTGAATTCATACAGAAAATAAAAAAGAAAAAAAAAACTTTCAAGAAACATTATTATTTTCATCTCAAATGATTTTAAACTTTTTATAGGCTCAAGGAACTACCTTAGCTCAAATTTCAAATAACACTCTTATCATTTTTTAGCTACCTCATTTATTACATTTTCAAATATTTCGATTACTTTTTTTTTTAATATAATTTCAAATTGCATATATCTCTTCCAACTCTAAACTACTTACATTAATACAACACTAGAAACTTTTACCAAAAACTACTAGAAATTGGGTTAAGTAAGACCCATTAACTCTTGGACTTATTACAACATTGAACCAAGATAAAGATAAAAATAAATGTTAATTCTTATTCTACATCAAAATGATCAAGCAGTTTCCATAACCAATCCCTTCAAAAAAGCTAGCCTAAAATCTTACCTATTTAAACTCTAATTTTTTGTTTTTTTTTTGTGCAATTTAGTCAAATGAAAACAAAATAAATTATTTTATTAATGATTTTTCTAATTAAGGATCTCATGTTATTTCTAAAATATCAAAGGATTACCATTTTTATTCATTAAACCTAAAACTCAAGTGACGTCATTATTAATTATCTAATCATTAATATATGGGTGAAATTTATTTTATATCTTGAAAATTTTTAATTTTTTACTTTATACCCTTAAATATGAGATTTTTTATGTTGCATTCTGAATGTATTAAAATAATTCTCATGTAAGCTGCGTTATTCATTCTATCAATGCTAATGGGTTGATTGTTTACGAAATAAACAATGAAAGTTAATACATTACAATAATTTAATACATTAAAGGTATAATATAAAAATTTTAATATTTAATGGTAAAAAGTGGAAAAGGTTAACTATTTTGGGGTTCAAAGTGAGATTCCTCCTTACTATATAAGTTCCCTTATCCAACACACTCACACTGTCGAGCACCCATACACGAAGATGATGCGTCTTTCGATCGCTTCGCCTTCGGCTGTTACCTTCTCTCCCAAATTAACCCTCTCATCGACCTTCAATGCTTCCTTCCATGGCGTTCGAATCGCTCAAGTCTGGCCCACGCGCCGTCCGAGCTTCTGCTCCATTCGAACCCATTGTTCTTCTTCCTCTTCTGTGGTGATGATGGCTAAGAGAGAAGAAGAATTGAAGGAGATCAGAGCGAAAACTACTGAGCAAATCAACGAAGAAATTGTTGACCTAAAAGGAGAGTTGTTCATGCTTCGGCTCCAGAAATCGGCTCGTAATGAGTTCAAGTCCAGTGAGTTTCGCCGAATGCGTAAAAGGGTATTCCTCAATTTTCGTCATATTCGGCTTTTTCTTGCTCCACATAGATGGCTATATGCAAAATATACGATAAATGCTTAATAGACACATAATTTTTGTTCCACCCAACCAATAGTTCATTTTGATTTTGGAATGTAAGTGTTCGAAAACGAAAACCGCTTGTTTATCTGGTAATGAATGAGAGGAACTGATTTTCTTCTATTTTTTGGAAGTAGATGATTTTTTTTGGAAATTTAAGTAGTAGATTTTTGTTCTTTGGAGGTTTTTTTTCTTAGGAAATGATTTTGATGCTGTTTGGTTAGCATTATGTAAGTGAATATTTTGATTAATTAAGCATAAATCAAACAGATTATGATTTCAAAAGCGGTGAAATTACTTTCAAAATGCAATGTGATGAGTTGTGAAATAGGACGTGGAGAGCGTGGCGGTCAGACATCATTCCAACTGCGTAGAAAACAAGTAAATGTGTTGCTTATCTAAGCAAAATCAAAGCTGATTGTGCTTTCACAAAGCGGTGGACGGAGTAAAAGTAATGTTAAAATGCTAAGCTTCCATGTGATGAGTTGTGAACTAGAAGGTGGAGGGTGGACGGTTATTGGAGCAAATACATTATCCCAACTCTAGATATTATTTCCGGATCTTTTAGGGGATGAGGTTCATAGAGGTTATTGTTTACTAGATAATTTGGTTGAATAATCTGCATAACTACTTGTTGAGATTCTAATTGGAAGGGTTTATCCTTTACACATTCTGAATGCAAAAATATGGATTGTCTCTATGAAGATTCGTGTTGCTTTCATGGAGAGATTCGTATTTCATAACTTTGAAACGAAAAATGATGAGCACAAGTTTGACTTGTGGTGCAAGCAGCCAAATGTGCAATGCTCCATCAACATTTTGTTGGATGTTTTGTTGCTGCTAGTTGTCAAAGAAAAAAAAATAATGTTCCAGAAATATGGTTCCATCAGGAGGGGGAAAAGCATGCAGACTGGTTGTAAATGTTGCTCTTGAAAATTGGATGTGAAATCAAGACATTTTGGGTTCTTCTCATGTTGATACTAGCAATTGAAGTTCCAGGTTATGAAGATATATTTAGCTTTAAATGTGATGATCTATGGACTTTAAGATGTTGCAAATTTGGAGGATTCTTAGTAGTTGGTACATCCTATCTTGGTTATAAGGAGAGTTCTGGGAGGAGCCAATGGATGAAGTTGGAATGAGAATTTTCGTAAGGATGACATTGTGTAGATTGAGGATAAAAATTAAGTTTGGGTGTTGATTGAACTGCTATGCAATCTTCTTTTTCGACATTGGTGACTGAATTTATGTGAAACTTATACTTCCCTTAAACTGGAATTTGAATATCTCCATTTATTGATGTTTTTTTTCCTCACTGGTATACGGTCCCTTATTTTATTCTCAAGATTAAGATTACTCTATACAGTCATGTGCTGGTATCTTTTCCCTAGTAGGGTAACACATAGAATGTTATTTAGGACTTTGGAGTTTGTAAATGCTGCTGCTAACTCTAGTTGCTAGAAATATGTTGCCTCTCTGCGTTTACAAACATTGATTGGTCTTTGGGTCATGCTCTTGAAGCATTTGTTTATTATTGTTGCGTTATAACTTTTATCTACTCGTTTTGCTCTTAAAATGTATTATCATTGGGATTTATTACTTCGGTGAGGTAATTGCCATTTAGATATGCTATTTGAATCAATGTCTAAATCTTTGCTATTATTCAGATATGCTTAAGAATATGATGCATTCTCATTTGCGCTTTGGATTACAATTTAATTGGTATTAGAGAATTATTCTGCTGGTATTTGTTAAAGTAAAAATATTTTACTAATGAGAGACAGTGGTCAGCAGGTGTTTTTCATGATGCATGTAGCTCACCTTATATAGGCTAGACTGGGCTGTTGGTTTGATTTTGGTTTTGCTTTATTTCTTCCAATCCCTCACTGCCCTTTACTTATCACCTAAATGGTCACGATTTATGCCCGCTGTTTCTTTCAATGATTGTTCTGACTTGGAAAGTATGATAACATATGATTTGATGGAGCCATGGGGGTTCTATAGATTTTCAATGAGTTGCTTGCCATTTTTCGTTTTGTTTTTATTCTTTTTTTTTTCTCTTTTCATTTTGGGTTGGTTGGGGATGGGGAATGACTGTATAGAATGATCCTCCTATCTTAACGAAGACAATTGGGTAAGGTGGTGCATTTTGACTTACCCTCCACATTCGAGATAGATGCCTTCACATCCAACCAGAGGCTAGTTTCCAATCGAGTTCAAATGTATGTTTCAGTCACCCTTTCTCTGCCTTTCTTCTAGGAATTCATGTATCACATTTGTCTGCCCGTCAATTTATTTATCATTTTTTGGTTTTTTTTGTGCATTTATGTTAGTAATTTTTGGCCTTTGTGTCATGTTAAAATGGAGGCCTTTTTTTGGGAAAATAGGTTGCTCGTATGCTCACTGTTAGGCGAGAGAGAGAGATAGAGGATGGAATTAACAAGAGGTTGTCCAGAAAGCTTGATCGTCAATGGAAGAAAAGCATTGTTCCAAGACCGCCTCCATCATTGAAGAAGTTACAAGAGGAAGAGGCAGCTGCAGAAGCTAAGGAATCTGCGTGAGCTCAGCTGAACCCTTCATCTACGGAAAATGCTTGGCCTTTTTCTTCTATTATTTTTCATTTTTCTCTTGTATTTCTTCGGATGATTTGATCTTTAAGCTCGTCAATTGTAGCTTGATTGCTGCATTTGACTACTTATTGTATAATTTATCAATCTGGATTTGTTCTTTCATCTGTTTTGCTCCACCAAAAATCTGATTTCAGGGCAGTTCATTCTTTTTACTCTACGAGTGCAAGGTTCACTGACATCTATCAATGGATGTAACATAACTTCCCCGACACTTGCCCTTTCTTTTGACTAAAGACTATGTACTGAAAATTATAACATCGTAGTACATAAAATGATATCATTTTGTTCGTTTTACATTTAAGAAACAATACAGAAGCCTTAGCATTGTAGTTTTTAAGTGGATTTCATTAACAGCTCATGAAGAATAATCTACGTTGACCCTTATTATTATTATTTTTGGAACTGTACATAGCCACTTATTTGCCTTAATTAAAAAGAAATAAAATCAATGAAATAGAGGCAAATATGAAATTTAAATTGGACGAACTGAGTTCGATTAAGGGAGGACACATGTAATTCGGAAAATTATAATTAAGAGGGTCGAAGAAATCCTAGTTAGCAAGAAAAGAAGAAAAAAGATACGGAAAGAAACAAGAACTACATAACTAGAAATCAATGAACAATTTTCCTTTTTTTTTTTTGGGAACTAACTGGGTTATACAGGATAACTTATACTTATTCCATGGGATGAGACATAATGTATTTCTATATATTATTATCTAATTACACTTTTATGACCTTTTTTTTTTAATTTTGTCCCCTCAAGTATTGAATTTTTCACATTGCCCCCTCAATTACATTGATTATTTTACATTGCCTCAATCGCAAATATCTGTTATTTTTTTGGACAAAAATTATTGATTTGTCGGGATAAAGTGAAATAAATTATATAATTTGGGGAAAAAAATGAAATAAATTTTTGTTAATTACGTTAACATACATTAAGAATTAGGGCAATGTGGAACTAACCATAGTTGAAAGTGCAATGTGAAAAACATGATAGTTGAGGAGAGAAAGTGAAAAAGGTCACAGTTGAGGGCATCAAAGTGTAATTTTTCATTTAAATAATGGAAGCCCTAAAAGTGATGAAGTATGTCTCAAGAAGTAAATGGGTATAAAATGTATTCCCCTAAAGATTCTATAATTCAATTGTTAACTGGCTGGGGCATCTAACTGTGGAGAATACATTAGGATCCGGTGAGTGCTAGCTAATATAATTTTTTTTTTTTTAATAATCGAGAACGGTTCCTCCCATGTAATTTTTTGACTCATAGTTGCAATACAAATGTATGCATTTCGAATAGGATCGTATTCTATGGTTGATTAAAGTTGGATTTATACATCGAGAGATTATAACTCATGATGTGTGAATTTATGTTTCATCTCTTGTTTGGTTACTAGCTATCTTATTAGATAGATATTCCATTTATTCTTAGTTTTCCTCATTTTGAATACTTATCCAAATTTTTTCAAACAATCCTTTCAATACTAAGAAAAGAGTGTATATATTGCCAATATTTCTCTCAACAATCCAAATTTCCTCACTCGGCCACATTATTGTTGTACTCGGTGCACAAAATTCTTGTGACTCTATATATTTGTAGTGGAGTTTACGATAGATAAATGATGAACAATGTCATTTTAATTTTGAAAAACTAATCTTTAGATTTGAATCCGTGTTAAAACACGGGTATCACTCTCTAATAATATATGACAAGTGTACACTATATAATTATTAATAATATAACACAATATCATATTGTGTTTTTTGCAAAAATTACTAGCAATAAGATAATGAAAACCATTTTTTAAAAGTGTCTAATCAATATGCAAATTTTTTTAATACTTTCCAACGTGGAGAAAAAGAGGTAGGGGTGGTTAAGAAAAAAACAAGAGAATTAGTTGTTATTGTGATGTCATAATCTATAATATAAAACAGGGTAGGCTTTAATAAGTCCATATGACGGTCTCAAATAGACTCATCCAACGGCCACCAACATTGCACCATGTACTGTGCCTTCAGACACGACTTTCCCCTAGTGTTATCTATATATGGTGATTAATTAACAGTCAAATTCACTATCTTTCAATAACATAGTAGTGGTTGAAGGATAAAACAATGATTTAGTAGAGTACGAGGGTTCAATTATTTATTTATTTTTTTAAGAAAATTTATTGTTCCGATTCAGCAAAATTTTGAACACCTTCGACTCTATAAATTTTGAATACATTTTGACTCAATAAGAACTTATTACAACCCAATAATCAACACTAACAAAATTAGAACCAATTCCGAAGTTTTTGAATTGGTTCTAACTTGATCGGTCAAGTTGAATTATAATTTGACATGATTAGATTGCAAATTTGTGTAAGATGCTAAAAACTGTAGAAAAACTTTATTTTATTTTTTAATTTTTTATTGTTGCTTACATATTCATCAAACTACAGCATATAAAATGAGTGGCGGCTCGTAAAGCAAGTGTTAAAAAAGTCCTATACCCCTAATGCTGGGCATAACGGTTGGGAAACTAGCACCAACCTAGTCATACAAACGAGGAGTCTTTAAGAAGATTTGGAGCATTGTTTCATTGAATTTGGATTGATAACTACTTCTTAGTGTCGTAGAAGGAACCCTTGTTCAAACCAGTTTTAATTCATTATATATATTAACTCACATTGGTATAATCGGGTACAACCCAAATTTTAGCTCAAGTTGTTAAACCATAGGAGTTAATACTCGAATTTCAATCCAAGAATTAAATTCGAGAATTGAACTTGCACGGGTTTCAATTCAAATTTTGTAACATTATTTCAAAAAAATTTGGACACGAGTAATACTCAAGTTGAAGATCAACTTCATGGTGCATACGGGTGTCTAAGTTTTTATAACTGGAGTTAAGCTGACATATCAACCTCCCAACTCACCTGAGTTTCTAAATGAAAGCAAACCTTTGGGCTTCTAAATTATCATTTAAACAATCAAGATATGATGAGATTAGCATTGATTTTCTTGAGCCCACATTAATTTTCTAGGGTAACGTTATATTAGGGTTGTTGTCATATTAATAGATGAAAAAGTGGGGTTGTTAGGTTTCTTCTCACAAATACGATTCACGTGTATTAGCCATTTATATATATACATTTGTATATAAACAAGTTGAACTTTATCTTAAACATAGTTAAGTTCAAATGCAAGATTGAGCACACTTAATTTAATTAGATAAGTTGTGTTAAACCGAGCCCACATTAGGGAAAAATTAACGATTCAAACTAAAACGAAATATTTGAGGTTTTGCTAGTGTTAATATGTTACATATATATAGACATCTACGTGTGTGCGTGTGCGTGTGCATATATATATATATATATATATATATATATGTATAAATATTATTTTTACGCAACATGAAACCCTAAAGACGAATTTGTGCATTTACTAAACAATCAAGAGCAATGCTATGCAACTAAATTTGGGATTCCAAATGACATTCCAAATCAATAAAGACCATTGGACTAATGTGATTCACTCATCCAATGGTCCCCGTTCATTTGAAATGTCATTCAGGATCTAAATTTGTGTTGCATAACATTTTTCAATGAGAAATGATGTGTCCACCAAAACGTTTACCAAGTTTTTGAATTCTAAATGATGTGTCACATTAATAACTATTGAATAGTTAGTACGAGTTTGTGAGATCTACTAACTCTATGGTTTATATGGATTTGAGATTAAAATTTAGTAAAAAATTTAGTGAATGTAGCATTAACAATCCAAGATTGGGGTTCAAGATGTAAATGCGTGGCAGTGCCAGAAATTCAAAGCATAGGGGCCAAAGCGAATATTATATTAATATTTTTTGGATGCAAAATTAGTGGATGGAAATGTAATTCTAAAAAATTGAGCAGTTAATCGTCATATGTAGAAATGTGGGGTTCACTTTGTTCGTTCAGTTGTTTATCATTGGACGATTGTACAATACAATAATGTTAGCATTGTATAATCTTTACACCGAATATTCAATGGACTACGCCCTCCTGTTAACCATATGATAAAACGTAGGCATGGTTTTGACTGCTTGCTTCTGGTTACTAGTCAGTAAAAAACTGAAAAAGCAATACAACTAGGTTCTCATTTTCTAAATTGTTTGTTACTAGATATGCTAAATATTTTTTTTGGACGGAAATCTCTCTCTCTCTCTCTCTCTCTCTCTCAGAGGCATACAAAGTCGGAGTTTAGATGTATTGGGTAGAAACCCAATAGAGCAAGCGAATCAGTAGTTAAGCTGACACTAAAACAATGATTATTTCCTACTAAACTACTCTTTCCAGTGACATCACACAACCTTTCAAACTAAACCTGCTTCTTTTGATCAGTGGACATAGACCACAAAACAAGGAACCTCAGTTGAAGAAGCAATTTCTCTCTCTCTCTCTACACATATGTATGTATAATATATATGAAAAAACTCTTTGTTTGTTGACAATCTTTTAACTAACTTCCGTGAAGAAGGTGTTGATTAGGGTAAACCCTAAACCTAAAGCTTTGAATGTTTTGGGTTTCTTTTAGAGTAAAACTTGGAGGTAATTATTTTGTGTGTGTGTGTGTGTGTGTGTGTGAGAGAGAGAGAGAGAGAGAGAGCAATGACTTCTATAATCTGTCATTGTTATTGTGATTCTGTGGCCATTGATGTGATACTTTAGTATAATTGAGCTTAGGTTTCAAAGAAGCAGCCATGAAGTAAGATATCTTGCCCTTTTTTTTTTTTTTGTTTTGGACAAGTTGGAGTGTTGGATCCAAAGCCGCTATTAATGAGAGTCTCTACATATTCTTATTTTTGTAACACCTAGACAAAAAAAAAAAAAAAAGAAGAAGAAGATGGGATTTAACAAAATTTTGGGACTTGTTAGATATTCTCATGAAACAACATTTTAAAGCTCGTTTTAGTTTTTTATTAGAAAATGTTGTGTTGTCGGCATTGCCAGACAAGCACCATATCATTTGGTCCTTTTTTTTTCCTCTTAGTTTTTAGTTAGTCCATTTTAATCTTTAGTATCCTATTTTAATCTTTAGTTTATAGGGCACTTCGGTTGCTAAGAAAATGAAAAAAAGACAAATAACTAAAAATTTAACTTAGACATCGCAATTATAGTTAGAATAGGAGTTCCCATTCACCATATCTCTCTCGACCTCATTTTAACTCTACCTAACAGATGCACACATGCATATGTTAGCCCATACATAAATTTCACAATTTAGTTAGATTTAACGTATATTCGTTCAAAAAATGATACTTTTTATAGCATTATTTTTGAGATCTAAATATTTGATCTGATCTAATAATTTAACAGCTCGAAAATTTGAGAAAATTATTATAACTATAATTGTTGGACTTCTCTATCATGTAAAAACAAGTAAAATAGGACAAAGAAAGGAAGATGTCTTTCTGACTTTCAAAGGGTGGTGGAAATCAAAGAGTTTGCTGCACCAACTTCCCCTCTAACCTGGTCCCTCAATGCTCAATTGGGTCACATCACTTCCTTTTTCTATCTTAGACTTGGTGGATGGTTTTTTTATCCTTCAAGCATTTAAACCATTTGATAGTATCTAATGTATGTTGTTAAGCATTTGATAGTTGAGTTCAACTACGATGTTTTTCAGTATCGTACGAAGTTATTATAAAATAAGGATAAATTTATGACTTGATTTGATGAATTTATAACAAAATATCTCAATGCTATGCTAGTTAGAATATATAATAAAACTTTACCCAATAAATTGTAACTTAATCTAAATAAAATAATTAGTAGCACATATTTAGTCTAGGTTTTTTTTTTTGTAAAATATAATAATTTCTTTGGTATTGTAGTTGAATCATTGATAATATTATCTTTGAGTAACAAAACCAATTTAAGATGGGGTGCGAGGGCTAGGTGTAAGGTGACCAACAATTTTGAAAGACAAAACATTATATTGACCGAATTTGGTAATCCAAAAAATGTGGTAAACCCATATACAAATTGATAAAAGGTATTCAAGTTTGTGCCTTGAAGGAGTAGACAGTGTAAATCTTGAAAACTCATGTACGAATTAGATGTCCTCGAGTCCCTTATTTGATTGGTGAGACTTTTAAATTTTTTGAGTTTGGTCCCTATATCTTTTTGGAATTAAATTTAGACCCCCAATTTTGTCAGATCAGCGAACCTCTCCTTTAAGAAATGAGGACCTATATATAAAAATGTGTAAATAAGTTTACGAATTGATGTATCCATGCAATAAGTGACGAAAGAATGCTTCCTGTTGCGTGCATGGAATGGTCCCTTCCGACCAGGGGCAGTCCCCATACGTGCATGATGATGAGCGTTTGTCTCCATTTAGGTTTTGAATAATAATGTGGGGATCTAAAATTTGCTTTAATATAATGAGCTAATAATGTCAAGATTTGGGTTACAATAATGATTCTATGAATTATGTTAATTGTCACGTCGTTAGATTAAGAAATTAAGGTAAAATTTTAAGTTATAATAACTTTACACAGTTTTTACTATGTTATGTTTTCACTTTGATCATTTTCTCATTAAAAATTGAGCTATTGTAATGTCAATATTGTCCCTTTGTATATTACATATGCTGTCTAATATCTGTATAGATTTTCTGGAGCCATGAAGGGAGAAGGGTATCCCTAGTCTGCAAGCAAATGGAAGGCTGCGACATTGTTGACGTACTAAAGGTATTAAGTTCTCAAATTTTATCTCTAATCAAATACAAATACCATTATTGATATCGTATAGATATTCGACTAGAGGACAAGAGAGGAGAGCTTATATATATACTCTTCCTGAGTAATTTGGTAGGATTGAAGGAAGGCAGCCAAACATAGGGAAACATAGACATTAGATATATGTAGAAATGGGAAGGTCCCCTGGTATTGATGAGACTGGCTTGAAGAAAGGTCCTTGGACTCCAGAAGAAGACCAAAAACTCATCAAACATATACAAGAACATGGCCATGCAAGCTGGAGAGCCCTCCCCAAACTTGCTGGTATCTATACCTTAACCATAGATTCATCTCTCCCTCTCTCTCTCTCCCTCTCTCGATTGATTGAGTATTCTTTTGCCTTTTGCAGGTCTTAATAGATGTGGAAAAAGTTGCAGGTTAAGATGGACCAACTACTTAAGGCCTGATATCAAGAGAGGGAAGTTCTCTGAAGATGAAGAACAAACAATTCTGCATCTCCATTCCATTCTTGGCAACAAGTAATTGCTCTAATTCTCTCTATCTCTATCTCTCTCACTCACTCCCTATATCACAAGGATATGATTTCTTATTCAAATATGAATGCTTAAAGTTATACTCTCTTTAATAACTTAAGTTTTTGGAGCTTAAGTTGATCAACTCTTTCTCTCTCTCTCAAGTATATCATTCCTTGTTGTAGTATAAATATTTACTTTCGATCTTCTTTAACAAAAAAATTTAGACTTTTGGAGTAGACAGTGATCTAGCAGCATTCATTGAACTATAGGTACTAAATTTTCATAATTTTATATTGTAAACAAGGTGGTCTGCAATTGCAACTCGCCTACCAGGACGTACGGACAATGAAATCAAGAATTTCTGGAACACCCATCTGAAGAAGAAGCTAATTCAAATGGGTTTTGATCCAATGACCCACCGACCTCGAACCGATATCTTCTCAAGCCTTCCTCATCTCATAGCTTTGGCTAATCTCAAAGAGCTCATCGAAAACTCCTCATTAGAAGAACAAGTTCAAAGATTACAAGCAGAAGCTGTTCAAACTGCTAGGCTTCAATACCTGCAGTATCTCCTTCAAGCTCCACCTTCCATGGCAAATTTCTCAGAAAACATGAACACTTTATCAGATATGGACAATTATAATCTTCTGAACTCTCTCTCATCAATGAAAGATAACCCGGTTTGTAATTCTACAACTCTGCAAGAATTCAATGACTCAATCCCATTCTCTCACCTACCTAACTTACAAATACCACCCCCTTGCAGCTTTCAAACCTCTGTAAATAAGGACATGGGTCAAGGCTCTAATTTTACAGAGCTTAGCCATGGAAAAGATTCACCTTCTTCTCCATGGTTTCCTTCTACTTTGTCTCCATCCCCTCCTCCTCAAGCTGGTCCACCTGTGACTGTTTCTTCCATTACTAAGAGTGGGGAAGCTTGTAGTACTTCTAGCTATGGAGGAACACCACCTTCATTTTGGCCTGACTTCCTGCTTGAAGATGCTTTGTTTCATGATGAGATTGCCTAGTTTTGAGGTGTGAAAGGTTTGGAGTTTCACTACCACCACTTTTTGTTGTATTTTGAAAGACAAATATACTGTTCATTATAATTAGTAAAACCTACCTATAATACATGTAGCTGCATCATAATGCATTGATCACATATATAGCATCTGTGTTTCTAATTTGTACTTTGTACACAAAAACCAGGATAATATATACATCTTTGAGTACTCGTAAGAATCAGAATCACATCTGATGGGTCATTTTTTGATGTACCGGCTTTTTTCCGTGAGACCTTTTTTAATTGGTAAATTTAGCATTTTTTGATCTAATTACAAATGCTAAATTGTCACAAAAATTAGTGTAGAAATACAAATAATGTGTCATGTTATCAACATGATGTTGGGATTTAACAATAATTTAAATCCACTAACAAACTCACACAATTGAACAACAAATCAAGAATATAAAGCAATAAGAAACAAGAAAAAATAAGACACAAATTTTACGTGGTTCGGCAATTTGTCTACGTCCACGAAGTTGTAGAGATTTTACTATTGAGAGAGTTGAATACAGAGAGCGGCTGTACAAACCACCATATTAACCCTAATCACCAAAACAACGGATTTTATATGTCTTACTTTGGATCGAGTCATCATCCGGATTGCATATACAAACTAAACTCCACAAAGAACCAACACATGATATATGTATAATAGTTAAATGGCTACATTACATTTCTCTCTGTAAATTTAAACTTTTGGATTTCATTACATTTTTCAATGTGTGCATAATGCAATCAGCTTCTGAGAGGGAGGTTTTGGTCATGCATGTAACTTCCCATCATGTTCTGTGTGGTTCCTGAGAAATTGTAGGACAAGAAGGGACAACTTAGAAACACCCAAGGAAAAGAAAAGATTCCATTTCTTTGTCGTATTGCTCTGCAAGTAAGTTGAAATTTAAAGGAAATAGAAATACAAGAACCTTTACTTGTTTATGCATATATATGAAGACTGAAGTTGCATGCATACATAAGTGATTGATGGGTAAGTGGCGACCAAGCCATTGACCGAACCTTTTCAACCTCACCAGCCAACCACTTCGGAATCATACTCTGAGTACCTCCAAACTCGGATGATGATTGTGTTCATCATCAATATTCCTTCCTAGCTCTGGCATTCTAACTCAAGAGTTAAGAGCTAAAGCTTATTGTGTGTGTATTACCAGTGTTATTATTCTTCGAGCCGGGTTTATGTTGTCACAATTAAACTAATGCTCAAGTTTGGTTTGGGGACGTTGGAAACTTGTATGAATTCAAGTCGAAAATGAACTCAATTTTTTCAAACAAAAATTCGAAGCGCAATACATAAAAACTTAATGGTAAATCACAAAATAATCAAATTTTTGATAAATATCTATTAAACATGTATAATCAACTGTAAGAATCAAAATTTGATTGTTTATATTCACGAGTTTTGTCCATACAGCGTAAAAAAATAAAGAAAAGTTTTATTTGTACCAAATTTAAGGCTTAATCAATTATAACATCGAAAGTGAAATCTATAATTTTAGAATTCACAACTAATCTAATGACTGTAAAAAATTTAGGTTCCCAAATTAGGTTCTTATAACATTTTTATTTGGTTCAATGATCATTGGTGTACAACTCAATTTATGCGTATTTTGATTAATCTTCTCCTCTATCCGGTCAAAAACAGATTATTCATGTCGAAATTAGGGTATTTCCTAATGTTCTGATCTCAAGAAATTGTTAAAATTCAAACTCAAGACGTCTGAATTTATAATTTCGTCTCGTTAGTCCTTAAACTACCTTAGGGTTGGTTGTATAACATTGTACAAAAGCAAAATGTTCCATGTTTCTAAAAGTCAACATATTATTTCTATAATAAGGATTCACTCACACAGAAAAATCTAACAAAACCAGCAATATGTTAATTGTCTACGTCACTGACAAAACAATATACTAAACCATGATTTCTTTTATATTTTTTTGATTTACACTTAATCACTTACTCTAACAAAGTAAGAGTCAGGTGGAAACTTATAAACACACACACCGAAGCTATCCGATGTGGGATAGCCCAGTCCCCCGACACTCCGGCGTAATTACCATGATCTTTTATATGAAGATCAGAGACATGCCACTATTTCCTTGGCGAGTGGTTGGACTTTGTTACTTTTCTACCAAGATATTGACTATACAACACTGTCAAATGACATACCATTAACCTAACTAATTAACGTTCTAGATCAAAGATCTCAAGGTGTTAAGAGGTCGAGTTGGTCTTTTTAAGCAAGTTAGATTTCGTTTGTTGGGAAAAAAGTAACATCCTATTAAAGTCAAGATTAAATGCATGCTTAATTGCACAAGTTGGTTTAGTTGTCAAACAAGTGGAACATTTAAACCCCACATGCCATGAATTCAAGCAAGTTGGTCTCATAAAGCTCAAATTTAATTGACGGACATAATTCAGGGATGAGTGCTTGCATCCGAGGTATGCATTATAACATGAATCTAAAAAACTTGTGATTGAGACTGATGGAACAAAATATCGTAAAGCATGAGATGGTTGAGTTGGTTGAACTCAGAATGAGGTGTGCCAAGTGTGTGATTTGAGAAGATAAAGAATGCACAAGAACTTAAGTGCGTCGTCCATCTGAAGAGCCAAATTAATCCATTATAATGAAGACTCTTTCTCCTTGACTATGTATTGATCGGAAAAGAAGACAAATACATATTGCTCTCTACTAGGGCAATTGCATTGGCTCCCTATTTAGACACTACTAATCATTGTGATCTTCAACCGAATTGGCTGAAGATATTTGGCTGCAAGAGGCCGACCATTTCCTCTAGAAGTGGTGGCATGGCCTTCTAGAGGGGTGTCTTTCTGCACATGGTCGAGTTTGAGATTGAATTTTCTCTTATACCCCCTTCAGTGATCCCTTTGCTGTTTAGTGTTTTATGGGCTTATTAAACTGTCTTGGGCCCTTACAGCCCAACATTTGTCGAACCAGGCTGTTGTATTTGTCTAGTTATATGGGCTGGTGATCCATTTCTGCTGGTATCATCGGAGATAATTCTTTGTTACCAACAAAAACAAAATGGTAATGCTTGTCCACATACATAGTTAAATTATTGTATATACACACATACATAGTTAAATTAATAAATGAAATTAAAGATAAATTATTGAATAGAATAATTGATTGATTAAATTAGGTTAAAAGTTAACTTAAATTTGATAAAATTTTATTGGGATTCAAATTTCTAGATCGGATCAGACATCCATCCAATTATTAACAGATGTAGTTATAAATTAAAAGTTTGAAATTCGTCGCATAAACAAATTAGATTCAAAACTCGAATTTTTTATCAGATTAAGATCTGGATAGTTCAATTATATAATTAGTTTCAATTGACATCTTCCGTTAATTTTAGACGTTAAATTGATACATATTTAAACATATGAGATGTATCAATTAACGAAAGGTATCAATTAAAATATTTTAAGAAATAAATAAAAGTTCACAAGTTATTTTAAAACAAAAACCATTGTTTAAGGGGTATTTATGAAATTTAAATAAAAAAATAAACAAAATTGACTCCACATACAATGCAAGGTTGCCCATATACATCGCTATTAATGCGATGTATATGCTTTAAATTTAAATCGTAGTTATCACACTTTGTCTAGGCATTAACAATACAAAAAGCCCCTGTCATGAGTCAATGGTTCAATTGTTAGGTCACTTGATCAGATTGATTATTTTTATATCTTATTTAAATTTAGTTTGTTGTGTGAGCTCCAAAACTAAGTTCTCTTTTTTACTGAATTTAGAATTTATGTTGTATTTCTTTATGGTGTTGTGCTTTTAGAAATTGGTCTCATTAACAGATATGTATCTAAATCACTTCTCTACAACCTTATTTGGATTCTTCTGTATCTCTAAGCGCCACTGCCCAAATACCCAGCCTTCCCATCCATAAAACCACTTGGTTTTGTCACTCTTTCCATCTATATGCCTTAAATTTAGGTCAATTGTTAAACTCTAATACAACTTCTAATCATTGTTATTAGAACCGTATCAGACCTGCCAATTGGATCTATTGGACCGTGAATTGGGATCTAAACCGATCCGCTTTATTAATTGGACTGTCCAAGGAACTGAATTGGTTGTAAACCGCTAAACCGGCCGATTTTATTCAAAAACCAATGAACTAGATAGTTTTACAAAACCTGTCGGTTCGACTTTCACCCGCCAAAAAAAATAAAAATTCAATCACCTCCTTCAATCTCCACTGTGCAGTTGCTCTCTCTCTCTCTCTCAAAGTTGAAGTCTTCTAAGCTTCTAACTTCCCAAACCGTTGGAGACTCTCTCTCTGCAGAGCTCAAACAGTTGAACCAGTCGGCTCTTGTTCTTAAATTTCAAGTCTTCTCTAGTCGAGACTTTCTTCTTCTCTCTCTCTCTCTCTCTCTCTCAGTCCGGGGAGAGGTTCATCACGATGGGGCATGGCTCGAACCTCAAGTGGCCTACTGTAGGGGCAAGGCCACTTGCCACTGAAGTGAATCTTCTAAGTCACACAATGTAAAAATGGATACAGGTGAAGACTAACAGTATGTTGGTCTAGGTGCAGCTTGGATAAAGTGATAGGTTTTAGGCCTTGGGGGATGGGTATCCATAGCTTATGAATTTGTTTAACATTAAGTTGGTGCTAGGGTTTGCTTCATTTTACGTTTTTCAATTCCATATTTTATGTACTGTTATTTCTTGGGAAATTCGATTCTAGCAAGTCTTATTCCTACTTTTCATATGACATGTGCAGCGTATACATATGATTGTGTGTGATTGTACCATACGCCTTTCAATCGGAATGAATTTTAATTCGAATTTGATCCAAATTCAAGTTCAAATATTTTAATGTAACAAAAAAAGATTACTATTTTAATCTATTTATCAAAATTCGATGCAAATTTGATTAATTATTTTTTTACGGATTTGAATG